TATCATAAAATTATTTTATTAAACAACTTCACTCTATTAATTATTAACTTCTGTTCCAGTTATCAATATTTTTTTTAAAATTTGGTTAATTTAATTTTTTATGTATATGAATAATAGTTTATTATTTTTACTTACTTAACCAACACATTTTGTTATGTAATTATTTTCTAATATTATTTATATAATAATTAAAATGTCATTTAATAATTTAACTACTTGTTTCGACAATTTATATACAATGATAAACGTGATCTTTTTTTTAAATGTATATTCATAGAATCATTCTCTCAACTTTTTTTCCTACTTTATGTACAACGTTGTTCAATACTATACACGATCCGGAGGTCGTGGGTTCGAGTCCCGCTACACAATAATTTTTCAACTCAACCAAACTTGGTATAATAATTAAATTGTTTAATATTTTTATTCCTATGTATAAGTTTTCCTTTGTTTTCTTAGTTTTGCTCTATATATCTTTATATTTTATATATTGTTAAATTTTCTATATTTAAAGATTTTTGTAAATTGGATTTATTTTGTAAAATATATATGTTATAGTTAAAAACCAAAATCGCGATATTTGAACAGAGCTGAGGAATTCTTTTTTGAAAGCATGATCAATTTGAAACTCTCTAAATTTAAGAAAACGTTCGTTTATTATCGTTTTATGTAATTTTGATCATAACGTTTGCTATTGGATGACTTATGTAATTGTGAAAGTAATATTTGCACCGTGGAGTTTATTGGTTTTGAAACGTTTGTACGAATATACACGAATACACGAATAAAAGTCGTTCTTACAATTCTAACGAGTGCTTTTAATTTTAGGATAAGTTGAAGTTAAAGCGCTTGGACTTAACGCTTAATACACAATTGACTTACTTGGAAGCTTTAGTACAAGCATTTTGGCGGCGGCTCTGCGTTTACGATGCGAATTGCCCAGGTGTCGGATAGAATATGGCGAATTCGCGATTTTGGAAAGTAGGATTACAAAATTACTCATAATTAACAGTAGGATAGATTTTGTTATCGACGCGGTGCCATTGTATTGTAGAAGGGGAAAATCCGCCGTAAACCATTGCGAATTGAAAAGGATAAGTTCACTATTTGATAATCACGCTCAGTCACAAATTTATCGACAAAGGCACATAGATAAATTTTGTTGCCAAATCAACACGAATTACGTAATGAATTGATAGAAATGATGAAGAGGAATGCTGCTTACTTGTTTGCAACAACTTCAAACTGACCCATTTCCTCAAAATTATGACTCCCACCAAGATTTCTGAAATGACTGCTCGACGTTTACTTCCTTTGCTATCTAGTTACTGCTGAAGAGAAAACACAATGTTTCAAAAGAGCTAAATAAAAAAATTCATCGTACATACAACCAATTATCTCTGAATCTACTAATAAATTAAGTATAATTTGTTTAGTTAAAAACTCTTGCTAATTATATAAACATTTTCAAAATACAATATACAGGGTGAATCAACTTCTATAGTACATCCATTTAATTCGGAAACTATTAAATTTAGTAAAAACGGTATTATACTAATCCCAAGTTAATTTTGGCTAGGAATCGCGTGGTGGCAACAGATTTAACATAACTTTCTAGCTAGGGAATGTCAACTATGTAACTAGCTGGGGAATGTCATTAACTTTGTTACTTTAAATGGGAATCCCATATTTTTATTGTATGGTTCACTTCTAGAGCTTGTTTTAAGCTACTTTTACTGAAAGGAAAATTTTGATAGGATCGACCATTTCGGAGTTATGCCCGTCGGAAGACAAAATGGCCTTTCCCGTTTATTTCGAAAAGAACTAATTTTATCAAAATATGGTCTTATACAAACCCCAAGTTTATTTTGGCTAGGAATCTCGTGGTAGCAACAGATTTAACATAACTTTCTCATCTAGCCGGGAAATGACACTAACTTTGTTATTTTAAGTGCGAATTCAATATTTTTATCGTTCAATTCGATTCTAGAGCTTATTTTATGTCACTTTTACTGAAAAGGAAAATTTTGATAGGAGCGATCATTTCTGGGTTATGCCCGACGGAAGACGCGTGCGGGGTATGCTTTTTGTAAGAACAAAATGGCCTTTCCCGTTTATTTCGAAAACAATTTTGGCAAAATATGGTCTTATACAAACCCCAAGTTAATTTTTTGTTACAAAAACTCCCTCACGAGTCTACCGTAAGCCATAACTCAGGTCTTCTATCCTATCAATATTTTCCTTTCAGTAAAAGTGGCATAAAATAATATTAATTACTTTTAGAATCGAACTGTACAATAAAAATGTAGGATTCTCATTTAAAATAACAAATCAGTATCATTTCCTAGCTAGATGAGAAAATTATATTCAATCTGTTACCACCCCGCGATTACTAGCCAAAATTAACTTGGGTTTTGTATAAGACCATTTTTTGCTAAAGTTAATCGTTCCCTAATTAAATGAGTGGACTATAGAAGTTGATACACTCCTATATATGAAAAGAATGGTTCACAAGTGGCCTTCTGATATTATACATATGAGAAAAAAGAACAGGCAGCAGAATTTTGAATAATCCATTAGTTGTATAACTTTGTGTGGAAACCTTGGCAGGAATCAGGGACACCGATCCCTGGACGCTTGGGACATAAAGGAGTGAGAAAGTGGACAATATATATATGAATTCTCTAGGACTCGAATCTTATTGTGGCCTAGCATCTTGCAAAAAAAAAAGTCCAAATACCCCAGGCATGAGGCACGCCAATGAGAGATTCATAGAAGGGCCATCCACAAGACTTACAAAGAAATGGCTGAAACAGAATCAGGAGACTGGCGGGAAGGTGCATGCACTGGATAGGAGTACAGACAGAAGAAACGCTGTACAGATATTGCCAAGAAGAAGAAAAGACCACAAAACAAGTTTTATGTTTTTGTGAGGGCCCAAGAGAGAAAAGTTGCATACAAGGTTCCTACATTAAATCACTGGTAAGGTTGTAGAAGGTTGATTAACAACCTGAAGCTAGGTCCTCTACTTGTCCTGCGCCTAGGTCGTTTACAGAGCTTTGCAGGTTAACAACCTGAAGCTGGCTGGTACGTTGTAAAAATAGAAGAGCACAATAGATCTACTTAGGTTGAGGTGCCGAAGGCCTTGTAGATCCCTTTTTATCATCCCTAGTTGTATAATTTATATATGGTAATGGAGAAATATTGATTACTCCATACTTGAGTGAATGGTATATATGCTACATAGGAATGAATGAATTTACAAATAAGTGAAAGTGCTTAGGCTAACTGCATATGTTGGTACTTGGGCGGGCTGAAACTACCTACCTGGTCACAACATCTGAGCCTAAATTCACCAGGCAAAGTGGTCTGACCCTGAATTTTATACCACCGATAATTTTAAGAGCCATGTTACAAATTTTTATTGATTTTCGTATAATTTCACCTTTGGTTAACAACATGAATGTCTTTTTTTTAAAATATAATATCATTATTTAATTTTAATTTTAGCTTACATAAGTTTTTTAATATATTTTTTTTATTGCTACCATTGCCACAATGTAATAATATGATGACTGACACTAAAGTCTAAAGTTATACTGTATAACTCAAAGACAAACTGTCATTCAAATTTGTTCTATTTCTAGTAAAACTTTCTAATTCTATTTATCCCAATTTCAAAAACTCACTGGTTATGCATTTTCTGTATAAGGACTTCATTCATCTACAATAATTACATTTTACAAGTATTAAAGGCGGCATATAATGATTTGTTTTTAACAAAGGCCGAATTGATATTAGACTTTATCAGAAAATTTAATCTTTAGTATATTCTGCTTGATGAAGTGAAAGTGTTCAGAAGTATCGTTCCAGTTTAAATTAAGTAATGGTAAGAAAATGGTACGATGTTTTCATGTAAATTCATGACATAACATAAAAATAAGAGGCATTTGTTTGAAATTATTAGTAATGATGACATTGCAATTTACAGTAGTGACTCCGGGGAAAGAAGGGTATTAGTAATTTTGATGAATCATTAATTTATAAAGACAAGTGAAAAAAAGTCCACTGACACCATTAATAAAGGTTAAATAAGATAATATTGCGGTAATACGCAAAGTTCCATGGTACGAATGTCATGAAAAAAGTAGATTAACTTTAACTTAAATCTAATAATTGCATGATAATTCTGAAATAACGTGTTAGTGACCAACATATATTGAAATAAATTTATTGTTCTGGTAATAGAATATTACACAAATTCATTTAAAGACAAAAAATACAGCAATTTATGTAGACTTCAATTTTGTAACACAAAAGAACAAAAATTAATCTGTTTTTAGTAAATAAATAATATTATTAAATAAGTAGGAGAAACATTTATATAATGTAAAATACTTTTATTAAAAAAAGTTAATCAAGTAATAATGACAAAATATAAACAATTGTTAAACAAGAACAATTTTAGTGTTAGGGCAAGTTGCTTGTGTGCAAAGGCGTTAAAAAATTGCCTCAGCAACACAATTGAATAATTTTCCATTAGATGAAGCAATACCAAACTATTTTTGCTCTTGTATGAAATTTTGTATAATAATTATTATAACATTTAAAATAATAAAATCGATCTATATCGTACAATGTACACATATTTTTCAAACAACTTTGTGTTTTTGGAATTTACCTATAAGATGATCATTTTTATTAGTAGGGAAATATTATTGCATCCTTATGTTTCAGAAAGGTCAAACAATATCTTTAAGCAAAAACAAATAGCTTTCGGCTGAGTGCCAATAGTTTCTATATTAAATTGGCTTCAATTTTTTTAAAACGAATTTTAGATTTACATAATTATACATTGTGCAATTTAGTGGCATAATTCAATCTTTGTATCCTTAAAAAAAAAATTCAATTGTCATAACATTCAACAGAATTTGACAATTCAAATGATTTTGTTGTTACTACATTATTACTTTTTATGTAAAGGAACGAATAAACAGAACAATTTTTAAATAGTTTATTTTTATTTGGTATAAAACAAGCTTTAAAAAAAAGTAGACTGCTTGCATCACTAAGAACAGGTTGCCATTGAGACAATTATATCAACAACGAGCCCATAGCAACCACCAAAGTAAAAGTGTGGAACAAATTAAATCGATGTAAATTAAACATAGTAAATAAGTAAAATTAATCTTAGTAATTTAACACTTAAATAACTATGTACAAATGAAATGTAAATGTTAAATATAATATCACACACCTATTTTATACACTTTATAATTTTACTAATAATTACACATCTGGAAATCAAAATATTTTATTTTCACAATAATTACAATCTACAAAAGTTCTTATAAAGCTGATATAATTAAATTTATGAATGTAAAACTAAAAAAAAAATTGTAATTTTTGGAAAATCATATTATTAACCTCTTTTATTTATTACCTTTTTCAAATGAATGATAAAATAACTATTTATAAATCTGATGTAAATTCCACTCAAAATTTACATTCCCAAAGCATCTATCTCCAAATTAAAATGATAATAATAATAATAATACATATCCATTATATAAAAATAATTAAAATAATATAACCAGATGTCTTGTCATAACCGTTACACCATTTTCATTTAGGTTTGAAGAACTGTTTGAGTGAAATCCCAATAGAAACTGTGATGCTTTCTCGGTTTTCTTCGGAAGAAAGACTAGGAGGCAACTGTCATATCATGTGACAGCACCTTAGAAATGTACTTGCCATTTTCTATTTACATATTGGTCATCTATTTCTTTTACACCTTTCAGTTAAAAGTTGCATTAATAATTGATAACGATATTTCCATCTGAAAATTAATATTTTTATCAAATGTTGAGAATTTTATTTAGTCGTGTAATGATTTACCTTCTAGTCTAAATTACTTTGAATGACCTGTAGTTTCTTGTCTTCTTCCAGATCGTCCAAATCGACCTTTTCTTCCTCTTCATCATCGAACCCAAAACAATTTTCCATGTCTTGTTGGACATCTTGTCTTTTTGTTCCTATTCAAAATCACCATTTTAATAAATTTTGAGTTAATTTAAACCAAACCACTTCCATAAAGTCAAAACCTTCTTAAAAATAGATACATTGTCAAAAACTCTTAACTACAGAAGGCCTACATGGCTGCTGGGTGTGATGTACTTCTATTGAATATGCAAATGTAAGCTAAGGGCTGAGAACCAAAACTCTACTTTTCTTCAAATTATTATCAATTAATATTCCAGGGGCTTTAATGAGATTTGAACCAGAAACACTAGTAATTATGATTTACAAATGAAAACTATTAAAAATATAATTAAATATTTATTATAAAAAATAAGTTGTGACTGAATTGTTAGGGTCAGGGCATCCTAGGGCAGTTCTTGGTTTGAACCCTTTCATAGTCCATTTGAGAATAAAAAGAACCCCCATTTACAAACCCAATGATTTACTTCCTAAGTCGCTTCACAAAGTTGGATGCTAAGACTAAAAAAACTTGTTATTATAGCTACTATTATTATTAACTACGAAAAATACTTTAATTAAAAAAAGTAAAAAAAATTGTACAAACCATCATTTTTGAAATTATCAGGAATTATTACTTCAGTGTCTCCTGTGGTTTCATTTGTTTGGAGTGCTGCAGCCACTGCTTGTTGAATAGTATGGTTTCCACTCAACATAACATGCTGATCTTCACCGTCCTTTGTGAAATAAATAAACAAATAAATAAAACATATCGTTTAAGTTGAAAGTATATCGTTTAAACTCACATTAAGTTGAATAACCTCGAGTACGACGTACTGTTGACCGTCATTACCCTCTACAGCCACGACCGAGCTGTCCATGACACCACTTTCTTCAATTTCTTCTTCATCCTCGTCTTCTGCATCTGGAATCACTTCAACTTGTTGGCCGTCGATTATTTGTATTTTTTTCTGACGGCCCAACTTCAAAGCCAAAGCAATCTCGTGTGCTGCAGAGTCAGGATCATGAGCAGACATGTGTCTTATTAAGTTACCTTTATGTCTAATAAAAAAGAAAAAGTATATAAATATTTATTACAAAATACATAAAATAGACAGTAAAAAATAGTAATTCACAGGTTTGTAAAAAGTATTTACCAAAAGCATTTGTAAAGAACAAACTGCCGATTTAATTTCATTTGGTTCAATAACATATTATTTAGTTTGGCCCTTTTTGATCAATATGATCTATATATTCAAAGTAACAAATTGATACTAAAGTATGAAATGACGTAAAAAATTATAATAAATTAATTTTAAACAAATAATTATAAATAAGCCTTTAAATCAAGCATAAACTAACCATAACCATCCCTAAACACAAAAAATACCCCACCACCCACAATGGTTTAATTTAATAAATACTTACGATGCCACAAACTACTGATAAATATACAATAATTTGTAAACATCACTTAAATCTATTCAACTTTTATTTTTGTTCATTTATAAGACCAACTTACCGGAAGGCACGTTGACATTCTGGGCATTCATGTGTCTTTTCCCGAGGCGTCGGAGGTACATAGTTAGGGTTGTGGTATAAATTCTGGTGCCTTTTAAGAAGCTGTTTTTGTCTAAATGCCTGAAAATTATTTTAGCCAAAATGTCATTTTTCAAACATCCTCTAACTATATAAAATATATCAAATTTGAAACATTTAAAATAAAAATATAACAAAACTAGGTATAAATTAAAACAATTTAGAGTGGGGGGAAACGGTTGAAGCAATGTGGAAATTTTCAGAAAATTATATCTAAACCAACATACAATAATTTTGGATTTTTTTATTTCCTTTTTTACCATTATACCGTAAAAATTTTTAAATTAAACAAAATAGAAAAATATCTTATTTACTTTTCGCAAAGCTTTGGCCAAAATCATGTGAAAGTTTTTATTTCTCTAAAAAAGACAATTTAGTTATAACAATTCAATTATTATAATAATTACAATTAATTAAGGTTTTTAGTTGAGATAAAAAGTCAATGGCACGAGCGGGATTCGAACCCACGATCTTCGGCTTGATACGCCGCTGCTCTACCACTTGAGCTATCGTGACCTCGATCCACTTGGGCACCTTAATTAATTGTATTATATTAATTGGTCAAGCGGACCACGAAATTAGTGAATATTACAATTATATAATAATAATTATATAATATATAATAAATATTATTACAATTATATAATAATATTATTATTATATAATAATCTTACCTATTTTTTTATGATTTATTAATTTCAATTAACAAGTGTTTTTGGGAAATGGATCAACAATGTTTTCAATTTTCTGGAGGCTACATTTTGGACTTAGAGAAAGTACAATTTATTGTATTAAATAATTAAATTACTGTATCTGAATTGTTGTTTTTTTCCAGAGAAAAACTTTGTTTGCATAGATATGGCATAAACGTTGCCAAAATGTCATGAAAAATAAAACAGGTTATTTTTACTGCCAGGGATAAGAACAGATCTGTGTTAGGGAACTATAATAAATTTTTTTTGTAAATTAAATCGGCTTGATGTCACTGTAAGTAGCAGTGAGTTTTTATTTTTTCTATATTTAAATAGATAGATAAAGCTATTTTTTTGTTAAAATTAAAAAAATTGACGGACCGGTTTTAAAATTCCATAAATAGTAAAATTTCTAGTTCATGTTTGAAAAATTTGTATTTTTAATTTCATCTAATAATAAAAACAATTACCTGATCACAACATTTACACTGGAATGGTTTTTCATCCGTATGAATAAGCATGTGAGACTCCAAATGTCTCTGAGATACTGATGCATACGGACAGAGATCACATTTCCAACATTTTTCACCTTCGTGTGATTTGTTGTGGACCTGTAATATAGAAAGGCATTTATTAATGAAATACTGGAAACAGGAATGTCATTAAAGATAAAACCTCAACTCGCCTTATAGCTATATCTGTCAGGGAATTGTTTCCCACATCTCTTACATTTAAGCGGTTTATCAGAAGTATGTAGCTTTTGCACATGGATCCTGAGGTCAGTCTTTCTGCCACAAGTCGCTGGGCAGAGTTCGCACTGGTAAACTGGTTTGTCACCAGCTGAAAATAATGCATTCCAAATGAACTACCCGTAAATAAAATGGAAACGCACTTAATTGTTTTTGTTACCACTGTGAATAAGTTTATGTGCCTTAAGGCTGTTTGATTGAGTAAACCTGGAGTAACAAATATCACATTCATAAGGTTTTTCACCAGTGTGAATTCGCAAATGTCTTTTTAACTTGAAAGTATCTGGACTGGCGTATGTGCAATGTGGACACTGCAAAATAGAAACAAATTTTTCCATAAAAATCCACTGATTCGCACACAAAAATATAAAAATGCGGTAAAAATACAAGAATAGTACCTGATAAGGCCTTTCTCCTGTGTGACATCTCATATGATTTCTCATTTTGCTGAGTTCGACACTGGCATAGTCACAAATCGTGCATTTATGGGGCTTTTCGTGTGTGTGCTTGTAACGGACGTGTCGAACAAGCTCTCCCGATGTGGTGAACGCACTTTGACAGTATTTACACCTATGGGGCTTCGTTCCAGTGTGGGTGTTCACATGGTTTTGCAATGAGGCTAATGTCTTAAAACCACGCTCACAGACACTACATTTGTGTGGTCGTTCTTCAGAATGTGATTTCATATGCCTCGACAGAAGGTATCTGTTACATCAAGTATAATTTTAGAATTAATTATACTTTTTATCTAAGATCTTGGTTGAGATGAAAAAGTTAGTGTCACAAGCAGATTCAAACCCGCGACACCGCAGCTCTAACCGCTTGAGCAATCGAGACTTCGTGCAGTTCAAAGGTTGTACGTTTGAATCCCATTCGTGACACTAGCTTTTTCATCTCAACCAAGACCTTAGATAAAAAGTAAAATTAATTCTAGTAATTAATATGGTCAATTATGACTATTAAACATATTTTAATACAATTTTAGATTTTTTGAACTGCAAATTTAAAAATAATTTTATAATAATAATTAAATAAAAATTTGGAATTATTATTCTTTGCTGTTACAATTTAAAAAATTTCACATATACAACAACGTTCCAATTACATTTTATGTCTATTGAAGTGATTCGTTACTATTCTTATTTCAAAAAACTACATATTTTCATAATTTATTTTAAGGTTTACAACATCAGAGGTTATATCAATCCTCGTGGTATCGGTTTTTTTTTTTTTTTTTTTGGAAAAAAAAGAAGAAAAAAAGCCAGTTATACTTGGGGATTTGAACCCAGGGCCTTTACCTTACAGTGATAAGTGCCATCTCAACACCTTACCGTTGCAGCCCCATAGTTTAAAAATTGTTTTAGTTAATTTAAATGGATATGTATATATATTTCCATTTAAAAATTAAAAAACCTAAAACCTCCCTTATTAAAAATGATTAGAAAGAAAATGAACTTTAGTAATTTAATAGGACTGAATATCATAAAGCAATTACTCACCTTTTCGGACTAGTGTAATTGCAATAATTACACATGTGAACTTGTGTGACGGTCTGAGATTTTTTAGGAATGACCTTGATTATTTTTGATTTGTCCTCTTCATCAGCAGACTCCTGGAAAAGAAATAATGACTCAAAAATAGCCTAATTATCGATTAGAAACTCCTTGTACCTTTACACATTTCACACTGATACAATCTGACTGGCTTTTACACTCTTCAGTTTTATTGTTTATATTAATGATTGGATTTGATTCTTGGCTTTCACTTAATTGATCAATGTTCATTATGTTAAAAAAAAACTTTTTTAAATGAGGAATATAACTGAGTTTTTAGTTTTATTTATCAAAACCTATTTAATCGATATGATTTAAAAGTAATATTCTTGAGGTACACAATCAAAATTTCAGTAAAGAAAATTAACTAAAATAGTATTTTACTCTCAGAAAACAACATAAGTAAATAAGCAGTTAACAGTTTTGTCCTATGAGTTTTTATTGGTGCAGGTTCAATCCCAGAGCAAGTTCTTGAATATAATTTGCTTATTTGGTTACCACTTGCTGTCATGTTTTCTTACAGTGAAATAAAAATTTCAAAAAAATCCCTTTTAGAAAAAATTAATTTGTTTCTTTTTATCTTTTACTAATCACTGTTTTAAAACAAAATGAAATAACTAAACAAAATAAACTGAAAGGTTTTTACAAGAAATGCCATGTAACATCTTATTGCAAATAATAAAATCTTTTTTCTGAATTTTTACTAAACATCTGTTCATACGATTTTTAACAACGAACATTTAAATTTAAATTGAACCCCTTTGTAAATTTCTAAATAAATAAAATAAAATTCAGTTTATCTATACACCTAAATGCTTCCTTCCACTGATATTACTAAATAAGTAACCCTTAAACCTGAAATTTTTAAATTTAAAATTGACTGAAAGGAGGTAATTTTTGTTACTGCAATCGAATTTCACTTTATCACAGCTTTCATCGCCCAAGACTAAGTTGATCATACATAGTAATTGCAAATTATTAAATTCAACCTTTAAATCCTGTTTCCTCGATTATTTCTTGTGCTTACAACTTGGTACCAAAGATTTTTATTTGCCCCTTTAATTAAATTTCCACAGGAGAATACTACTTGTGCAAGACGGTCTGAGAAGACCCACACCCAAATAATCCTAACTCTAAAAACTATTAATACATTCAAAACAGTACATTAATATCCCCAATAAATTTGTATATACATCTGTAAACATGTTTATATCTTTATCGAGCCTTAAAGTTTGTTAGCTTTCACTTTAGTTACCCACTTTACTGTCTCATAGTAACACTGAATCTTGTTCGGTTGAGTTACCATTTCTAAGAAAACAAAATTTTTTTAAAGAATTAAAATAAACTCAACCAATATTAAACAAGACAAATTGTGTTGTTTCTTATAATGCCTTTTTATATGTCTAAACCAGATCCAAAATATCATTGTAAATAAATTTATTTATCAAATATTTTAATATTAAATGTGTGAAATGAGTTGAACAATGTTAATTTAATTCAAATTACAAACCTCAATACAAGTTCTAATTATTTTAATTAATTATACTTTTTAATCTAAGGTCTTGGTCGAGATGAAAAGGCAACGTCACAATCGAGATTAGAACCCTTTTAAAAACGCTGCTACTCTGACCAATTGAGCTATTGTGACTTTGATCCACTCGGATGCCAACTCCTCATCTCTAAGTGGGTTTAATGATATTAATAATGTTAAGTATAATTAATTAAAAAATAATACGGTCAATTATGACTACTAAATACATATATGGATTCTGGACAAAGTTCTGTTTTATATTTGGCCTATATATTTCACTATATATCGCTTTATTGTCGACAGTACATACAAATTATGAATTTTAAAATTAAAAAAAAAAAAAATTAAGTTGTAAGTTCTTACAGGTCCGCTAAGTGGGTTTGGTTCCTCTTGATCGTCAAAATCATAGACGGTAAGATCTTGATCTTCTTCCTTTTCCTTATCTTCTGGTTGTTGTACAATAAGAACATAACTGACTTCCCCCGAACTAGTTTCTGAAGGAACAATTGTCACTGTCTGAAATGAATCTCCACTACCAAGTACCATTTGCCCATTTTCATCAACAACTTGAACCTAAATGTCATAAATTAGTGAAATGATTGTATTAAGAAAAATTCTGGTCTTTATCATAGTGTACTTACATCTTCTGTTGGTTGCTGTTCGGTTTCTTCAGAATTCTGAGCAATTGAAACAAACTGTTCTTCACCACCAGCTGCTTCAGGAATACCTGAAACAATTTAACTTAAGTATCGGCTAAACATTTTTAAGTTAGATTAATTAGACTTCAAACCTTGTACTACAGTCATAACTCTTTGGCCATCTTCTCCCCTCGATTCATAGTAGTACTGACCGGTGGCTTGATCTACATAATAAGCTCCTGTTTCACTTTCTCCACTCGCATTTTCACTAGGTACTAGAAAAGGAGAATATACATTTAATAAATAATACGATCACCTGTTTAAAACGCCAAAATTAGTACCATACCTGTTTCAAACTTTACTTCTTGCGCCACTTCTTGGACAGCCGCTGGCTGTTGTTGCTGTTGAGTTGTTGCAGATTCAGCATTGGCCCCGGTTGAACCGATTTCTTTATTGAACGTTTCAAGATAGTTTTGTATATCAGTTATCGTTTCTCCACTGGCTGCATTTGCTTGAACTGCTTGGACAGTAGCACCGTCTATCTTGACTACCCGAACAGTTTGCCCTTGCCTCACTGAAATCGATGTTTTTTTCTTTATCCGTCATTTACAAATACTATAATAACAAATGGCATAATTATTTACCTGCTACTTTTTTTGCACTCATATCTTAACTTTGATAAGCAATACCCTGAAAATTATGATTTGTTAAAGAAATAAATAAAACATTTGGGGGAAAAAGTTACTTTAAATGGTCTATTTTCTTAAAGATATTGTTTTGCTGTTTCATTGAAAACATAGCAAAATTTATAAGTGAATTTTATTGTTAAGAACACATTAAATTTTTTTTCATTCTTTCATTTATTTACCAAATGAGGTTTTCATGTAGTTTTTAAATTATTACTTTTTATAATATATAAACTACAGGAAGAATTAAAATTGAATATAATGAATAAATATGATGGGCAGAGCTTATGTTTTATTTTAAATAAATAATTACAAAATTGGATTTTAAAATAATCAAATAAATTAATACCCTCAATGAACTTGTCATTTCTTCTTCGTAAACTCAAATCTTGTGCAATTATAAAAAAAAATATTCAAATTTATATAAGTGAGATTAAGTGAAAAAGAGGAGAAGTTTTGACTAATCTAAGTTTTAGTGTTGGAGAGATAAATTTATATTTCTAAAGTGAATTTAAAGTCCCATTCACCCTTCTAGCAACAAAGCCTAAATAAACATCCCAAGATAATCTGGTATTAAAAGTCACACTGTTTTTTAACCTACTATTACTAATTACTACTCCAAAGGTTAAAATTGAAAACTGTCATCACAGAAAATTGCAGTTATCCTCTCGAGTCTGTTCCATCGGATGATCATGTTTTCGTTTCAAACATAATCTTTGTACAATATACAATTCCCACAATAATTGTACTTTGTGATTGATGATGAAGTAATACTTTTGCCCAATTGACAAAGGACTTGGTAAGTTTTAACCAAAAGTTCTGGTGACCGACAGGCTCAGAAGTGTATACAGTCAATCAATCACTGTTGCTCGCTCGAAAATAGATGTGCAAATCCAAGAAATCCCACAAGATAAGAGGATTAATTAAGAGTTGTGGTTTTAAATCAATCTTTGAAAAAAGTTGATCAGCTGAATCAATCTGTTTCGTTTATTCAACATCCTTATCTCAAATTTTCCCGAATCCTCCAATTGAAAGGGTTTCTCCTATTTTGAACTTGGCAATTAAAATAAAAAAAAAGGTCTATTTTCTTAAATATATTTATTGTTTTGCTGTTTCAGTGAAAGCTTAGCAGAATTTAGAAGTGAATTTTTCTGTTGAGTACATGTAGATTTTTTCTTCATTCTTTAATTTTTTTTTTTTACAAAATGAGGTTTTCATGTAGCTTTTCAAATTATTACTTTTCTTCTATACTACTAACTAGTACTACCAAATTTGTTCAGCACACTGCTGACCACAGAAGAAAATGTAACAATTTACTGTCTGTTCTGTAGATGAGCATGTTCTCGTTTCAAATTTTTGCACAACATTTTCCTCGATGATAGTGCTTTGTGATTGATGATAAACTAATACTTTTTTCCGATTGATGAAGGACTTGGTAAGTATTAACCAAGAGTTCTGATGACCGACAGGCTCATAAGTGAATACAGTCAATCAATCATTGTTGCTCATCAAAGATGAGCATGTTCTCGTTTCAAATTTTTGCACAATATTTTCCTCGATGATAGTGCTTTGTGATTGATGATTAACTAATACTTTTTACCAACTGATGAAGAACTTGGTAAGTTAACCAAGAGTTCTGGTGACCCGGAAGTGAATACAGTCAACCAATCATTGTTGCTCGCTCGACAATTGATGTGCAAATCCAAGAGATCCCACAAAAGATTAATTATGGGTTTTAGTTTTAAATCAATCTTCCAAAGGAGTTGAATAGCTGAATCTGTTTCGTTTATTCAACATCCTTATCTCGAATTTTCCCTAATCCTCAAGTCGAACGGGTTTTCTCCAATTTTGAACTTGGCAAGAAAAATTAAAAAAAAAAAAAAGAGATACGATTTTCAGGAAAGGGGAAGTGGTGGGGTGTATGATACGTGGAGGAAGTACGGGTATCAAAGCCACAGCTGCCGTCCCAACTACTTTTTTTTTGTTTTTGTTACTGTCGTCGTTATTATTAGTTAAGAAAAATTGTGCAGAAGGAGAGGCGAAGTAGAGACGAGCCCTGATTGGAAACGAGCGGACAATGGAGGTCACGGTTGGAATGGCCGTTTATTAAGGTTAAACGGGTTCGGTAGGGCGAAAAAAGGTCTTTGAAATGTGCGGACGAAGGGCTGGGGCGGCGTCCAAGAGGGACACGGGGCCGAAAGAGGCGGCGGGGCTTCGGATACGGCCCTGGAAACGGGCCAGGCCTAGGGGGACGGAGGCGGCCCTAGGAGACGTCCGTCGCCGTCTGGGTGACGTCGCCCCCGTGGAACGGCCATCTCCCCCGGCCCCCGGACGGATCCTCTCGCGAATTTCAGTTTATTTATGTTAACAAAGGTTCTTGGTAGTTTATCCGTCGGATTAAAAAATGGATACGCAATCTGTCGGTGGTATAAACAAATCTTACTTACGATTTCAGAAGACAGGGGGCATTAAAGGCGAAAATTGCTTCAAACCGGCACTGTAGGCGCTGCTCGTCCTCGCGTTAAAACCGAGACGGGCGAAGGCGTTCTTCTAATTATCGGCAGATTCTCCGGGCCCCGGCATAACAGCTCGATCCCGTCCTCACTCCCAGGATTAAAACACGAGTCGAACGGGGCGACGATTAGGTTAGAGCTTGGGCTTGGTCCAACTTCGGTGCCAGTATCGAACTTGCGCCATTTGAGCGATTTGATTGGTCGAGGCGATGCCCGGACGTCATGCGCGGCCCACTCTTCCCAACCGACGCGCACCTTCCCACCCCCCCGACCCGCCAACTCGAAAAATACCAAATCCCACTGAAATGGGAAATCATTTCCAATTTCCTTTCTTTCTCATCGACCGTCCTGCATTTATTTATTACAAAAACACCGATTAGGACAGGATTTAATATCACATTGACTAACTTGAACTAACTCTTCTCGCTTGGAAATGTTAACATTATTCTATTCATATTCGTGTCAATGTGCAGGGGCACGCGCACATTTCAATTCTCTCCCTCGTTTTCAATACTACACCAATCTTTACAAATTTGGCTAGAGATTCAATTCGAGAGAAATCGACTGTTGAAAAAAATATATTTATACTATAGGAAACCACAGCTGTTTTTTAGTTTAAATTTCCGTAATCATTGTGTCTACTTATTGCAATTTTATTATGTATAGGTCTGATTTCAAAAAATATTTATTTTTTATTTACATACTGTTGTATTGTATCCCATTTTTTAAAAACGTTGACTCTATGTCTGTACTCATTAATGTGTACACAGTTTTGAATTGAATCATTTTTCAGAAAATTACTTACTTCTGTGGAGTTTTTAACTTTATAGAACTATGTTTGAAAGTTTTCAATTAAGGTTTTTAGTTGAGATAAATGATACAATTGGTCAAGCAGATCACGAAAACTAGTGAATTTAATATGTTTGAAACGTTCAATAACGAGTTTTGATGTGTTATAAAACAAAGAATTAATTAACAGGCTGAAATTTTTCTTTAATAACTTGATATACTTGCAAAATTACGATTGCATTTTTTTACAATAAAAATTTCAATGCCGTTATAAAATGAAATTTACAAACACTCAGGATCAAAGTATGGTCTTGAAGAAGAAAGCAAATTTAGTTGATACTACCAAGCTTTCGACCTATTTTAAGGTCATCAATGGCAAAACAATCTTAAATATGTCGACAGATTGACATGTTTAAGTTTTTACAAGTGATCTCAAATTTCCTTCAAGATTGACTCGAGTCTTTTTTCCTTCAAGACCATACCTCGATCCAGTGTTCGTAAGTGAAAATGTGGTTGATACTTCTAATGCTGAACATAAAATTACAATTTTTGGCCGTTTTCATGTGGTTAAATCTGAGACCCAAGACTGAAGATAGCATACATACCAAAATGATTGGTAACGACCAATCTACAGACTATAATGATTAATCTCGCATTCCAAAATTTAGAATATTTTCCCAATTTAGTAATTTCTAGTAGCTTTCCTATTGTGTACAAATTCTTTACCCCGTGTGTTTCTTTGAGGGCAATTCTAAAAGCATTAGTAGTAATAATAATACTTTATTTGTTATAATACAGTAAATAAAATAACTACACAATAAACGCAGCACTGCATTTAAAATTCCGTCTGCTGGAGGTGAATGAAAACATAAATAAAGTTACAAAAGAACAAAATGCTCTTGGGCCAAAGCCTGCGCAGGTGCCCCTTATGCAGAGAAAGGTTGCTTGATGTGTCCCACATACTGGAAACATGTCATGCCTTGGCTCCCTACAGGGAGCGCGTAGGCATGTCATCCAATCTGAAGATGGTACTCGAGCACTGCAGCAAGTTTCAGAGTCCCCTGTTCCGCTTTTTAGGGGAAATTGGTTTTTTTTTATTGTATATAATATGTCTTATGTGTTGTGTGTCTGTTTTGTCTGAGTGCATGTATTTATTAGTGTGAATGGTGAGGGTGAAATATAACATCATCGCCCCTCAAACATTGAGAGCTTATTAGTGTGTGTTCGGGGTCGATGGCGGAATATTTATAAAAGTACTCCATCGACCCCAATCTAGATTAGTTCGAGAATAGGTCGGTGGAAGAATATCAAGTACTCCACCGACCAAACGGAATGAGTGTATTGTATGGATGTATTTCTGTGTGTGAATATATTCATTTGTATGAATGTAGTGTTTGAAAGTGTAAATAGAATATAGACATAGTTGGGGGCTGAAATGACCAAGATGTCGGGGGGGGGGGAGAAAAAAAATTGAAATAAAATTTGACCTTGTTATATAAGTAGTATATATTAAATATGTAGCTCTTTAACATAAATTGCCATGTATGTCTGCAATTTGTACAACTGGGGTGGGTTCAGAGTTTAGACCAGTAATTAGTTCATTTATAGGCTGGGAACTGCAGGATGGAGTATACAAATTTTATTTATTTATTTTATACAAGTAAATATAGTATATACCTCAATTGAAACATAAATAATAATACATATATATATAATTATAACGGATATATTCAACATAACTAACTCCAATAAAATATTGTATTGTGTCATAATACAAAGATGTTTAAAAATATAAAAGAAGTGAGAAGGAATGGTAAAAGTTTAATTAAACATCTGAAATATGTAAACAAATATAAAAGAAGTGAGAAAAAAGATCAAAAATTAATTAAACAACAGCAATATACAAAGAAATATAAATGAAGTGACTGAATGATAAAAATTTAATGAAAAATACAGAAATATATAAACAAATCAAACTCAACTGCCATGATATTAAAAAAAAAAAATGTTTTCACGAGTCAAGGAATCAGTCTAAATTTTAAATAATTTGTATTATAATTAAATACCGAAAATAATATTTTTCTGTGGTATTACACCATGGAACATGGAAATTTAGCAAATTAATTAATTGTGTATAATAAATAATACAATTGACTAATCAGTGTGCTAAATTTCAGTCAGTACAAAGAAAAAAAAAGTTTAATCTGAGGTCCTATTGGATGAGTTGAATCGTCATTCCAGACGCTCGAAGACGAGTATGAAATAAAGTGTCAAAATGCTTCAGTCCTTCCTCTACATTGTTAAATGGAAAGTTTCATCTGGAACTCAGCGACAGAATGAGATTCTCTCAATGATTTTCCTTTAATATTCTTTGAGAACCTTTTTTTTGACGTTATTACCAATTATCCATCTCTTCGATAACTTTTGAAAAAACTAAAATACATTGTAAATTTTTACAATTATTATTATTTTTAAACAAAGTGAATTTAAGATTCAAAATGTCTTTTCCCAATGTTTTTTGAAAAAATAAAAAAAATAAAATAAAAGACTTTTTGCAAAGGGTAAAAGGAAATCTCTATAAATAAGTTTTTGAAACAAGCGTAAAAAAAGCTTTATTAAGATGATATGATCCAAATGTATTTTAGGCCATTGTATTATTGTGTACATTGGGGTGGGTGACAGCAAAACAAATTTTAACTGTAACATTTAAATAATTGGAAGTACACAAAACATTTCAATTGGAAAACATTGCTGGATTTATCAAAATAAATACATAATGTAAATACAAACGCTCTGGATCAAGGTATTATCTTGGAGAAGAAAGCAAATGCCAAGTTTTCGACCTATTCTAAGATCATCTACAGAGAAAAACTAGTTTGTTTTACAGGCGATCTCAAACTTACTTGAAGACCGACCCAGTCCCAACATGCTGAGGGTTTGTAACCAAAACATCGTTACAGTCCTTGGCAATGTTGGGACTATCTGTCTTGAAGAAAGTTTGAGATTGCCTGTAAAAAAACCACTTAAATATGTCAATCTGTAGACATATTTAAGGTTGTTTTGCCCTGATGACCTTAAAATAGGATGAAAGCTTCGCATTAAGGACTAAATTTGCTTTCTTCTTCTTCGAGACCATACCTTGATCCAGTGTTCATAAGTGAAAAAGTGGTTGATACTTCTAATACTGAAAATATAAATACATATATGTTTTTTTAACTGCATAAAAACCAACTGACTTGTGATGTTCCCTTTTTCCTTCCTGGTTTCAATTTACACGAGCAGTTTTTGTTTCCAAAAATATACAAATGGCATTTTAAAAAAAACAAAACACCTTCAAGTGGTTGATTTCTTAAACAAATCATAAGGGAGAAATAAGTCCATTAACCCTTAAAAAATAAAATCAAACTGTACAATAAATACACGCTATATTTATTTATAATACATACCTAATGTTTGATAAAAAAAATTGGAAGCTTTTTGACAAATTAATGCTGATTTGATATTTTTTTAATATTTTAGGAAAATATGGACCCAAATCCAGATGGAAAAAATAATTTGCGTTTGTGAAAGTAAAATGTATGTGAAATATTCTTGTTAAATTGCGCAAATATTTAATACTCCTTTTTTATGTAATTTCTTTTTTTTCTATGAAATTAGGTTTTAAAACAAACGCTTATACACACATTTTGTTTAATTTAGAAAGCTGCAAATGAATGCAAATTGTAATTAAGCGAGTACTGACTAAAAATAAACTTGGATGGTGATTTTCTTTTCCACCTGCATTAGCTGTTTAATACTAATTTAGTATAGTAATCACATCACATATCATATCATACATCCCACATATCATTTCCTTTTATGTTTTACATTATGAGAAACAACGTTTATGTTTATGATCAATTATAATTTTGATTAACTCGGAAGAAGCAGGAGAGTTAAGGTTCTAAATGATAACTGCTTTTATGTTTATTAAAAAAAAAAGAAAAGAAAATAACAAAACAAAAACAAGTAAAAAAATACATATTAATTTTAAAGGCTAATAATTAAAAATAACTTTTTTAAATGAAGAAAAAAGTATGACCAAAATTTACATCTATTCTAATTTTTTAAATTTATTACAATAATTCTTTAAATATTTTTTTTTGATCAAGCAACAATGTTTAACTAGTCAAAGTTAGCAATATAATTTAACAATAAATATTTTAAAATAACATAAAAACATTTTTTTTAAATATTGCTTGACAGCTAATTGTAATTAAAATTTTAAATTACCAATAAATGCCAATCCATAACCAGTTGCTGGATCTTAATGATGTGTATTTAAGAACTGTCAATATTTACAATATGCATTTTCGTTTGAGCTTTACACTACGTTACTTTTGGACCAGGAACATCGTTAAAGGCTATGTTTACCGATAACATAAAAGCATGCCAAAACACAAAGTAGTACATGTGAGGAAGACGACAATTCTCTGAAGAAAGCGAATGTCCAATTTTAATTGGCAACAACATTCTGTCACATGATTCATCTAAAAATTAAGAAAAAAATTATGCGATTACTTTGTTATTAGTATAATTGGATTACATAACTGGAAAATAAGGGCAAAAACATTTGTGTTATATTCATTTTTGAACTCGGTCACATTTATCACCAAAATTATTTATCGTTTAAATATTTGAAGGTATAACCAGCATTTCTTGGATTGCTTATGACTGTGAGTAAAGATTCTGGGCATTTTTTAATTTTGAATTTAATTTCTAAAACATAATTGATTATAGTTTTTATATATTTTGACGTTGTTCCCTGTGTTCACCTACAACATTTTAACTTATTGGATTTTGTGAGCTGGGTTGTTTTTTTTGCAAATTAACAAGCTGAATTCATTGATTTTAATTCTATTAAAATAAGGAAATAATTATATAAAAAAAAGGATACAAAATGACTGAAATTTCTTATTTTGAAACATTTTTAAATTATATTTTTTAGCTAAAACTATGGTTTAAAATAATTACAATGAAAACCAATGTAAAAAAATGTAAAATGTAAAAATGTAAAAAATAATTATGAAAATGGTAGCATATTCTTTATGGTCTGACATTTAAATGTCTACAATTATTAAATATAGCGTTATAACCTGGAGTTGCCCAGGGAAATAATAAAAAGTGTTTTCTTTTTTTTTGTAAATCTTGACACCCATTATTTCTTACATGCCCATTTGATAGTCTCTAAACCCGCCCGGCTCTATAAAAACAAAGTGTGAAAGTTACATTGAAATCAGTTCAGTAGTTTTTGTTTTACGATTAACACGCATACGAACATTCACTTTTATATATATAGATAATTGGTGTCATCTCTGGGGAGATTTCTATGATGAATAACTGAGGTACTCACACTTGTAATGAGCTGTGAAATGCTTGCTTCTATCGAACTTTCTGACTTCTTATCTAAATAGTTTTGGGAATTTTCAAATATAACACAGGTCTCTTCACTTACGTTTTGCTCCTGTGTTAAGGTAAAAATGCTTAATTTACAAAATATTCACAAAATCATTTCACATCAAAGAATATGAATTAGAGTAGGATGGAAGTACATCTTCTAAAAATCACTTCCTGTAATATATTTTAAGTCAAATCTTATATAAAAATGTATGAAAAAAAATGAAGAAACCAAACTTTAAGTGAAATCTTGATGGTTTCGAGCAAAAACTAGTTAATACAACTACTTAATACTGTACAACAATTTTATTATTATTTATAGTTATATGTATAGAGGTTTTTTAAAATGATGTTCTTTCTATAACACACAAGAAACTGTACTTTTCAGGAGTACATATTAAAACTTTTTTAAAAACATTTTCTAAGCAACAATAATTCATTGGATTTGCTACTAGAAAAAAAAAAAAAATACATGTAGGATAAATTGGTCAAAAAATGACAAAGTTATAGCAAAATGCTTGAAAAAACGCATTTCGAATGTTTCGTTGTTAATTCCAATAATTTGCTTCATCCCTAAAGTAAACATTAATTGCCTTTATTGTTTACGTTCTATCATTGTCAAACTCGCATTATGAGACCAAATCTTAATTCCTGTAAGTAAATAATAATCTGAATTCCTCTCTACGAAATGTTGGCTTTAGGTTTTTCAAAAAAAAAAAAAAAAATTAGAGATGTAGTCCAGGTCTTACAATTTTAAGCTATATCGCCCTCAGTTTGTCCAGGGCCTTGGGGACTCTGATTATGACAAGCTTCTATCGTTCTTTGCACAAATGTCAATTTGGGAGGATGAAGACGTTCTTCCATGGACTGATGAATTCAGGTTCACCTCTAACGGCAGACTAAATAAACGGAAATGCGTTTTTTTCAAACCTTTCGCTATAACTTTGTCATTTTCTAACCAATTTAAAATTCAATTGCACCAATGTTTTCATCGTAAAAATTTTAAAAGATTTGTCAGAATGTATAGGGTTGTATTTGAAAATTTGAAGTTGACCCTAAGGTACCCTGTATAATTTTTTTTTACAAAAAAAGATAAAAATATACAAACTAGACTGAAAAATATTAAAATGTATTTTTTTTGCTAGCGTCATTGGCTTAAGAGAAATTCAGGCGGGCCACCTAAAAAGGCCACCCTGTTGTACTCCTGAAAATTACATTTTTTGTGCATTAAGAAAAGAACATCATTTACCAAAACCTCTCTACACATATATCAAGCATATAATAAAATTGTTGCATAATAATTCTATTATACACCTGAAATCATCAAGATTCAATTAAAATTTGGCTTCTTCATTTTTTCACACATTTTTACGAAAGATTTGGCATATTTACTACAAAATCGTGGACTACATGATGAAGTACACAGGTAGTCAGTCAATTACCATTATTAATAAAATTCAAGAAGCCTGATCATTTTTATCAGTTTTTACTGATGGAAATTAAGATAACTTTTCCTGTGCCTGAGTAAAAACGTTACAAAAACTCTAGCAAGATTAATTAAAACTGTGGCAATTTATGCGAGACAAGTGCATATATTGTACACTTACACTGATAAGAAGTTGGGCAATTTTTTCTTCAATGTCCGTTCTTGCTGGAGACGGAAGATCCTCTGAAGTCAGAAGAGAACTGGCCGTACCATTGAGGGACTGAGTCAATGATGCGACCTTACATTTCAAAAAATGCTGTTCGAGCTTTTTTGTATCACAACTCTGAAAAATAACATTTACCAAAATTATAAATGAATTTACAGGGTTTAAATAAATACACGTACTCGCCAACACTCATTAAGCGATGTGCTGGGCACCTCAGAATCAAGCGGAAAATTTAATATGAGGAATTTATCTCGAACGATATTTGCTGAAGTATAACCGGCGATCAATGTAATCTCTATGATGACTTCACCGCCGACAGGCAGCATTCCAAGCCCTTGCCTGACTTTGAATTTTTCAGGGGAAGTAGTTTTAACCTTGAAAAAATAACAGAAAATAGAAACAATGTCCCCTTAGAAAAAGTAAATAAAATAGATCAATTACCTTATAGGTAACAGGTACATCACTGGTGTTTTTTACGTTTATCACAGCAGATATTTCTTTCCATTCTGATTTAAATACGATAGCATCTGAAGGTGTAATGGCCAGCCTTGATGCTGAAAATAATGTACAATTTTTCCAGCTGATTTTTAAATACAACAATGCCTTTTTAAAAAATTAAGAATACAGTCATTTCTAAATTCTAACGCAATAGTAATATTAGTTAAAATTCAATTAGTTAACCGACAAAATAACACAACAATTATAAAAAATTAATTAACAATATTAAATGTTGACAACTGATTAGAAAGTTTTTGAAAACATTTGGCACACAGAAATTGGTCTTCTCAAAACTTTAGCAATTACATTAATCCATACATGTATTTAGCAGTAATTGACTGTTTTAATTATTTAAATTAATTATACTTTTTACTTAAGATTTTGGTTGAGATGGAAAAGCTAATGTCATGAGTGAGATTCGAACCCACAACCTTCGGCTCAATACGCCTCTGTTCAAACCACTTTTCATCTCAACCAAGACCTTACATAAAAAGTATAGTTAATTTAAATAATTAATACAGTAAATCATGACTAATAAATACATATATGGATTAGTATAATAATTACAGAAGTACAGTCGGCTCTTGATAATTTGAAACCCAAGGGACTACAAAAATAATTTGAATTATCAAGATGAAAGAAAAAAAAAAGATGTATTTTTCAATTTCAATTATTACTTAAATTGAACATATAGATCAACTTTAAAATTGAACATAGTTACGAATTTAAAAAAAAAAAAAAAAAAAAAAAAAAAAAAACAATAGTGTTACAATGTGACCTGGCATCCTTTGTTTATTAAATGATTTTCCGAAGTGACCAGTGCTGAGAAAACATTGGCAAAACACTGACAAAAGAACATAATAAACTAGAGAAAATTTGAGGCAAATTAAGCTGTTAGGAAGTAAAGATTACATGGAAATTTATAGGAATATAAGAAAGAAAAAGTGCCAATTATAAACAAAGAATGGGAAGAGGCTCCATTTCAATTAATAGCATGCTTTTTCTCCCCCTGTTATGAAAAATATTTAGTATTATTGAGTGTATCAAAATGCGCAGAATTATTTCAAATTACGGAAGTGACCTGTTGAGGAGTTCGTTCAAAAGCAATTCGAATTACCAAGAGTCAACTGTACTTCCTTCGCTAACAGCTCCCTGTGGCCATTTCATAAGTCGCTGAGAATAGAATCCTGATCACACGATATTTGAAAATATGGCAAAAACAGGGAAAATTTGAATGGTTGTATACTGAGATGAGGAGTTGGTGTCCGAGTAGATCGAAGTCACGATAGCTCAAGCCTATTAAGCGAAAGGTCGTGGGTTTGAATCCCACTCGTGACACTAGCTTTTTCATCTCAACCAAGACCTTAGATAAAAGTACAATTAATTTAACAATTACATTTTTTTTTTTTTTTTGCGTTATGAACTATGCATATTAACCATGTGACAATTCGTATATGTGTGTTCAAATTTGGGGGGGGGGGTTATTGTGAAAAAAGGGCCAGAGGCAACGGTGGGAATCGAACCCACGACCGCGGCATGAGAGTCTCTCATGCTAACCACTCGGCTACCGCGGTCCCCAACAATTACATTTCTTTGCTAAAATAAATAGGGAAGGGGATTTATTAGAAATAATAAAGGTGGGGTAAGTATGTTTTATTCACTTTTTGTAAATCATAGTTCTACTTGCAGATTTTAAAGGATCATTTACAAAACGTGAAAAAACGAAGAGGGGATTTATTTTCACAATTTTTATATCAATACACACTGTAATATCTGAGTTCATGTGTCAAATTAAGAAAGAAAAGTAAGGAAGTAAATTACAAACAAATAAATTTCCGCCGGTATGGGGTCTTCCTCAGGTACGGCGTGGTGGTGGAAAGGGTATATATATATATATATATATATATAAAAAAAAACTAAATAAATTCATAATAAAAACAATTCCTTTTCATTTTGTTCAATATCATTTTGTCATGCAAACATTAGAATATAGGAATAGACTAATAACTGAAATCAATTATTGATCGAAAGCTCAGAGGCTTGTTTGTGTTCTTTTGTTAAACCCCTTTATATAACTTACAATCAAAATACTGATAATTTATTATGGTAAAAGATATGTTGTAGAATGGAACTCTTTGTTTATTTATCATCATTTTGTTGGGTGCACGTAGATGTTTATGAATTAATAGTAATTACGTATGTTGTATTGTATACTGTTGTTTTCTTGCTTATAACTTAACTTGAGTTAACTCGGCAGATGAATATTAGTTCTAGCCTAAAAGCAATATGTTAATAAGAAAAACAAAGAATTTTTTCTGTCTAAATAATCACTTTTTCTATTCTATTATACAGGGTGAATTGCTACTCGTGCTACAAACTTCTCCAGTAGATTCTTCACCCTAAAATGAACAAAAAAGTTCATATTGTCCATGGTCCNGTTGAGAATCGGACCATGGACAATATGAACTTTTTTGTTCATTTTAGGGTGAAGAATCTACTGGAGAAGTTTGTAGCACGAGTAGCAATTCACCCTGTATACACTCTTACTATTCATTAGATGTGAAATAAATATCAATCATATATGGATGTATCAATGGTTTTTTTTAATTGAATGTTTTTAAATGTCATTAATTTAAATTGTTTCTTAAATGTCTAGATTATGGTGCAGATGTAGGATGTACTTTTGAAAATTTGTTTTATGTTTCTGCTTACCTTGTTTCACTTCATTTGGTTTGTTAAGACTTAATGTTTGATGTCTTGGGTGTTCATTTTTATTTCCCAAATAGGTTTTTATTATGTTATTAAATAGGTTGTAAAAGAAAGTAAATTTCGAGTCCATTCCATGGATAATATAGCCTGTTTGCCTACATCAGTACGTAAGATTTAGATAAATGTTGATGTACATGAAAGTACATTTTTTTAAGCAGCTGTTTTGGATTTGGATAACAATGTGTGAATTTCTGAAATGTAATGAAAAACCCATGAAGTTACTTTTGGTGAGTTCCTCGTGTGTAGCGTCTCCAAAACTGGCTGGACTCGACTCCGAAAGGGGTGAACCATCAGCAAAATGGACCTAGAAGTATGATCAGATTAAATTTTCAATATGAGTTATAAGTTTTTAAAAAATGTCGAATTTATTTATAGAGTCGGTTTTGTGGTTTTCTATGCTTATCAAGTCAAATTATTCATATATTCTTAAAAGACATTTATTTTTATATTATAATGGTATGTAAAATATATAAAAATAATCTTTAATTAATAAGAATATGAACTTTATCAGTTTGATACACTGCATCTTGGATTTCAAATTTACGAAGAAGGAAAGCAAACACACTTAAACATACTAAAAAAAAAAGAGAAATATGGACAACTAATGCCCTTTGAAATTGTATTAGATTGGTTATTAGGTAAGAAAATATATAAAAGAAATTAGTAATTTATATACTGCTCATGATTTAGTTTTCTATAGGACATATCCGATTTGCCGCATTATATCCTAGAGAAAAACTAGGCAAACAGATGACATCTCGTAGCCATATGTGGAGGATTTATAAAGTTAAAATTGTTTTTGACATTGTTGTTGTGTATAGTTTTATATATAGAAATGCGGTTTTCAAGACATTTTCAAGAAACATTATTTGAAATGATGAGGTTAAAAAAATCAAAGGGATCTATAAGTAAGTTCATTTTCATTTTAGACGTTTCAAGTATGTATTTATCCAAAAGGAAAGTTGAGAAATTATAACATTCAGAGAATTCTATAATGGAATAACCCTTTTCCAAAAATGTTCTGAGATTATACACAATTGTTATTGAATAATATTAAAGGTAAATTTTGTATTCAAACACTTTCTAAGTCCATGATACAAATAGTCAATATAACATGATTGGATGACTAAAATTCAGATTTTCATACTTGATCATACAGAATCAAGTATAATTCTGTACCACCCTGATCCTTTTATATTATACAAATATAGATCATATTTATCGAAAATAGAAGGAATAAAAGTAACCAAATGCAAAGCAGACCTAAAGCCATGAGTAAACAAGAAAATTCACTTTGAAAAATACGCTTCTTAATAAACAAACAGTTATATAAAAATGTCAATAACATTTTCTTATCTGCATTAATGTTAATCCTTTAAAAAAATATTGCTTTGTCAGATAAACTTAGTGACAAGGCTGATAAAATACGAGAGAAGAGCAAACTTATTAACTTTAGATGTTAAAGTAATAAAAAGGCCCTTAAAAGTTTAAAATGTTTTACTTCATGTCAGTATTGGGTTGGAACTTACTTGGAACTTACACAGGTTTATGGTTATAAAATAAAAACAATTAAATAAATGATTTTATGCATTTTTTGTTAATTAAAATACCCTTCATCACTCTTACTATATCTCTCCCAATGTGGCGACAAATTCTCTATACCCTCTGAATATATTTTTGAGTCTTTATTATTAACAATTTCTGAAAAAAAAAAAAAAAAAATTCAGGGAACCTCTCAAATAGGGAGGCAGAACCTCATAACCAAGATCGAACAGTTTTGCTGTAACATGTGAGACAGGGACCACCGAACATTGTTGTTTATCAGAATCGATCTTTTACGATTAACAGCTAATGGCTAAGATGGCTTCAATAATGCCAATTTCTGGTGCACTGCTTCACGTTGAGAGCACTACATTTTGGCGTTGATTGTTTCGCCAGAATTCAAGAAGTTGTAGTAAATCAGCACAAACGAGGCCAACAAAAGATTCACCATCACCTTTTTTTTTAATGAGTTGGTGGCTTTTGAAAATGTGCGAGTTCCCCTTTGTCGAGCCACTGTCCTGAAGTCTGCTGATTGTAGAAAACCACTTTTCATCAGAAGTAACATTCTATCCAGAAAAGGTTTGTTTCTGTTTCGGCAAAGAAGGCAAACTTCATAATGATATTTTTGGTGGCTGTTTAATACATGAAGAACCCAACTTTCAAGCTTTTCACCTTTCTAATTGCCTTAAGGAGGGCAGCAACGATCAATTTGCTAACTGAAAATTTCTCTGCAATTTTTCAAACAATTTTTCTGGGATTTTCTTTGAGCAAAGCTCCCAAACGTCATCGTATTGGGAAGAAATCCTTCCACGACCTTCTTTGTCATCAAAGCTAAAGTCTCCCTCTAGAAATTTTTTAAACCATCTCCTGAACAATGCTCTCACTCCATTAACGTTTCTGGCTGTTTGGGGGTTTCTGACAAAGTTTCGTAAAAATGATATTGCACAAAAATCATGCATCTTAGTAAAGACTAGAGTAACGAAATGCTATTGAGGTAAACAAACATAGTTATTTGGAAGAGAATTCAAAAGTGTTGAAATTTGTACAAAAGAATAATCCTTCAAATGTAAACAGTTAATTTCAGAGAGGGGCAATTGAAAGAAAACATGAAAACCTGCATTTCAGGACAACCCAATAGTAAAATAGAAAAGTGTCCATTTCTCAGATCATGCATAAAAATTAAAATAATGAACAAACAAATGCATATATATTTTAATACAATAAAACAACCTTTTTCTTGTTATCCTCCATTTTGACCTGATCCATTGGGATCAGTGTAAATGAGTACGGGTCAATTCCTCCCCAGATCTTCAATGACTGGCTTTTGTCCACATATTCATCCAATGATGACTTGGTGACAAATTTGATTTTTTGAACGGCTTTTGTAGGCAGCCAAGACTTAATGATTTTAAAAGTAGCTAAAAGAGAGAAATAAAATAAACCAATGCAATGTTCAAAATGAATCAATCATTACTTACCATTGAGAATCCAAGGCATTTCAAATATAAGTATATAATTTAAAAAATTTGGGTAATACTGCTTGCACAAGTTAATTAAGTATTTTGTATATTCCATGTCCATATTGGCCATGCCGGAATTTGTCATGTCAAAGAATATAGTTATCTGATCTGCATTTTCACATCTAGAGAAAGAATAATGGTGGTTATTGACAAATCAAAATGAAATTTAACAAAATTTCATTTAACTAATTTGTAAAGTTACCTTTCTGCCCTCTCAAACCAGTATATAACACATTTTTTAAGCTCTTCAAAATCCTTTTGCCCTTTGACGTGCTTACAACATTTGAAGATCAACAAAGGCTTCCCATCCTTGTCTTTGTTATGTATGAAAAGACTACCTTCTTCCAAATAATCCCTCCGGACAGTGTTTTCATTCAAATCTGAAAGATTTTTTCTAATCATGCATGGTTCAACAAATACCAATCATACTACTGACCGTTGACTTTGTTATTTTTTCTCCATTCACACGTTTCAAGCAACATATTCAGGGCACTCTCCATCACATGGTCGTGATGAGTGAGAAACCGTTTTAGCCATGCATCATCGGTATTAACCCTAGCTACATCTTTAGGGTGGAAATCTGCCAATAATAAAAAGAAAACAAACTATTATTTATTTAAATTAATTATACTCTTTATTTTCACTAATTTCGTAATTTAACTAATTTTTCATCTCAACTAAAAACCTTAATTAATTGTAATATACTCTTTATCTAGGTCTCGGTTGAGATGAAAAAAAAACTGGTGTCATAAGCGGGATTCGAACCCACAACCTTTGGCTCCCTGCCTTGATAAAAAGTATAATCAATTTAAGTAATTAATACATTCAATTATGAATACTAAATACTTACATGGAATATTATTTATATAAATAAATTTGTAAAAGCAATTTTTTACATGTTTTGTCGTACTTTTTTGGTGGATCTCCATCAATACAATTGAATATCAATGAAGCTTTTAGTTCCGACTGTTTATTAGTTTATTTGGGAAGCTTTTCACTTAAATTTTAAGCATCATCAGCCTTATCGTAATCTTAAAATCTAATGAATTGATTTATATATTTATTTATAATTTATGTATGTATTTACATATTATATATCAATTATTTAATTTTGTTATGTTCAATTTGTGTGGCTTCTTAATTTGTCCTTATAGCTTTTTTGAAGGTTGGGATGCTTGGTCAGGTAGACGTAGAAAAAAAAAGAAAGAAAAACTACTTTTTAAGTATGCCGACATTTCATCAAATTTATTGACATCCTCAAAGCCCGTTAAGGGTAGAAAGACAACAGTCAGATTCAATTCTATACAAAACTATTAAAATTACTACTATTATTTGAATAATTTTGTATAGAATAGAATCTTTCTTAGCCCACGCCTTGAGGATGTCAATAAATTTGACAAAATGTAAAAACGTAGTTTTTCTTTTCTTTTACTTTCCATGACTACCTGACCGAGCATCCCAACCTTCATAAGAGTTCGTCAATCATAATGATCTTTTTAACAAGGATATTTCAATTAAAAGATTATTTGAACCCTCGAGGTGTCAGTGTTTCTGGAAAAAAAAGAAAAAGAAAAAAGGAAGCCCAATTGTAAGTTTGTCAGGTTTGTATGCAGGGCTGCTGGATTCGAACCCAGGATCTTTACCTTATAATGAGTCAATGCCTAAACCATTGCGGCCACTGTCACATATTGTGATGTTGCAATAAATTATGTTTTTAAATATTACTTACTGAATCGAATGAAATAAATACATTTAATGAAAATAAAATAATATAAACCTATAATAATATAAACATTTAATTTAACATGTTAGCTGGATTATATTATTTACATTTCATTAAATGTAATTATTTCATTCCATTCATTAGATGTAAATTATAAGATTAGGATAAGGCTGAATTAATGTCAGTGAAAAGCTTCCCTAGTAAACAATGGAACTAAAGGCTTCATTGATATCTAACAAAAGAACCATTCACAGGAAATTTTAACATCAAGTTTTAAACTTTAAGCGAGTACAATGTAAAACGTCAAAATTGTTTGAATAAGAGAAATGTATTTTTTATTGATTTATAATTATAACAATTGTTTCCTCTATGACATATATAGATCTGTTCTCGAAATCTTATAAATTATAAACAGTCCCTTGGAAAGGGCACTTTTCCTATAAAGGTGGCTCCAGACAATGCCAAATGCTGCCGAAAATTTGTCAAGTTTTGAGATGCTCGACTCGGTATTCGCCAAATAACATGTCTATATACACATGCAGGTTCGTACAACCAGTTTGTGCAGACACAAATATGTATTTGCCAAGTGCCGAGTGAGTCCTCAACGTACTACCATCGTGATGGACAACAAACTTCCATTGCCTGTAGCTGCGGTTACCGTTTCGTGTACAAACTCAGCTACAGAGTACTGTTGCCCCATCTTACTTTCGATCCGTTTCCATGCATCAAAAACCTCCAATTTTTGCAATTCGGAAGAGAAGCTCTCCATTAGTTTGGCTACAGATTGAGGAACTCTGAACAGGAAGACTGCTATGTTTAGTCAATCCATTCCTAACCAACAGAACAATGCTATGTTGTTCTAACATATTCTATTATTTATCTATTATCATTTCTCTTATCTTGCTAGGCTTTTATTTCACATTCTTCATACATCTATACTAGTTAGGAATAATTTATTACTGGAAAAAAAAAAATGATTACAATTGATATCTGTACAGTACAGTTGATTCTCAAACGTGTGGATGCTTTGAGTTTGACTATTTCATGAATATTTGTGGACTTTGAAGCGGACAAGAAAACCAACAATTAGCCGAGCACTGAACATTATATGTATATATATTATGCAGGCGACCAAGACTCGTACATCGTACCTCATCCCTAAAAGGTCCGGGACTTGGTCGGCTCACGTGTCCTGCATAAACCTGCACTTGTTCACCTTGGATGTGGACCTGTTCATAAACACTAAGATTTTGGACCATTTTATCTCGGGGAGTGATTTGGTGATGTCATATTCAAAAGTTTCAAATCTAGACCTAGCATACCTATCACATTCTGCGAGGTAGTGCCTTGCCGTTTCTTCTTTTATTTCGCAAAAACGGCAAAAGGGATCTGGTAGAATACCCATTTTGGAGAGGTGTCTTCTCAGTGGGCAGTGACCGTCAGAATACCAACAGCCTCTTAATTCCCTTCCTTGAGTTAGAGAATAGCCATTTCGATTACTGGTTTGATTCCCTTGACAAACTTGTCCGGGGAATAGATTCCATTCCTTAAGGAATTGTTTCATACCCCAGTTTTTAATATTCTATTAGCACTGAACAGTGTTGCTCCAATAAAAACCAAGCACATCCACACAAGTTGGGATTTGGCAAATCTTGCATGTCTGGAGCCACCTTTAGAGCAAGCACTTTTGTTCTTCGCAGTCCTTTTTTTTGTACATAAAAATGTTATGTAAACGTCTACTGAAGTAACTAGACTGATGCTTCATATTCACTGAGGATATGTGTTAATGCCCTTAGTTCCTTCTGATAAAGATGAAAGGTAGTTTCTTCAAGGTAAGATGTACTTTGATAAATGAAGAGTTGGTGCCTTGTTGGATTTATTAATGAATTTAATCTGATTATATAAAATTTTGTAAATAACACAAGACTCAATTGAGACAGTGCATTTTGGGCAATTACAACCGACAGCTTTTACTCAATAAGTGTACATATTACAGTAAATTTTGATATACATGTCCTAATCGAGTTAACACCGTCTCAATAAGAAATTAGTTTTCTAATATAACAAAGTTTAAAGGACCTATGATTGAACATATTATGTAATAGACACGGATACATGCAGGCAGAAGGGATTACCTCTGTGTTCCTCTTGTACCTTCTCCAGAAATTGAGCCCTCAGCTCTGCGGTCATTGTGCCGTCGAAGAAGACAGAGAAATTGCTAACGATTGGCAGGAGTTGCTGAGTTGGAAATGATTTCACCTTAGAACAGTATTGCAATAGGGCGTTGGATCATTTCGAGTGTCTGGACTGTTGTCGAACAAAGGGTACAAAGTCCTCTTTCCACTCACACTTCAAACAGCGACACCGTACTGCGACATGTGTCGTATCGAGAGTATCTGCGAGCGATAAACGAACGTTCGCTTCTGCCACCGCCCTCCCTGAGGCCTGCAATCAGTTATCAGCCGACTGGGCGTTCAGCGCTCAAACGTCGCCCGCTGATAACTACAACCAGCAACATGCTGATTTGAATATAGCAATAAATTACGTCATGATAGGAATCATTATTTATTTACGGGTATGTACCTAGTTATAATCAAAAATAATAACATACATAATCATAACTGAATTATAATAATAAACAAAAAATGAATAATAGTAATAATCCATTATATTTAGTTGTCTGATTGAGTAAATTACTTCTTTCAAGTAATTAATGTTTTTATGTAAGGTCTTGGTTGAAATAGTAATAATAATAATACAACAAAATAAACTGATTTTAATAATGAGTTACAATAAATAATTATAATAATAATAATCCTGTGCTTTGGTGGATGCTCGTCACTGTAAGGTAAAGGTCCCAGGTTCGAACCAACTGGCCCTGAATCACAGCATACTTTTATATGGCTTTTTTTAAAATATTGGCGCCTCGAGGGTTGATACGATCTCTGCTCCTGTGAACCCTGGTAAAAAATCGAATATCTCAGGGCCACAAATATTTTCTATTTTATATAGATCTTTGTACCTTCATGTATGTGATATGTGTTATTTATTGGACCGAATGTATTTATTTGCGTGAATGGAGGGGTTCATCTCCCATACCCCTAGGAATATCGAGTACTCTGGGGTAGTGTGAATGTAATTTATTAGCGCGAATGGGGCATAGCTCTAATTAACGCAAGGAATATCGAGTACTGCGGGGTCGTTGACACTAACCCAAAATATTGGTTAAAAAGTAAGTAAAAAGTACACTACCACAGATATTCAATATTCCTCGGTAATGGGGGATATGCCTCTCAATTAATGCTTATAAATTAAATTCACACATCAGACTTAGTTCAAACGAACCCAAAGTACTCAATTTTCCTCAGGGCAATAGGATAAAGTCCTGTGTAAGTTCGGAAACGGACATAGGAACAGGCAGCCTTAGACCTTTGAAGGGTAATAGGTTATATGCTCCTCTATTCACACTAATAAATTATATTCACACATTAATTTACACTACCTCAAAGTTCACGATATTTCTCGAGGTAGTTGGGGGTAAGCCTCTATTCACACTAATAAATTACATTCACACATCAGAGTTCGTTCACACTACCACAGAGTACTCAATATTCCTCAAAAAGTAATATGGGATATGCCTCTCCATTCACAAGATTCTTTCATTATTCAATATTCCTCAGAGGTATAGGTTATATGCTTCTCCATTCACACTAATAAATTATATTTACACATTAATTCACACTACCTCAGAATTCACGATACTTCTCGAGGTAATTGGGGGATAAGCCTCCATTCATGTAAATAAATTAGATTCACACACCAGACTTTGTACACGTTATCTCAGAGGACTCAATATTCCTCGGAGCATTAGGTTATATACTCCTCCATTCACACTAATAAATTACATTTACACATTTATTCTCACTAATCCAGAGAACATATTCTCAAGGTCATGCAATAGTGGATTTTTAGACTAGCTCCAGACACCAAGGCTGCACACAGGTCATGCGGCATGTTGTATTTCTTTCTTTACAGTCTGTTATTATGTGCTCTATCATAATAAGCTCTCCACTCAACAGGTGCCTACATGGTCTCACCCTCATTAGAAGGTGTCTATGCGTGATCTTGGTGTGACCTATGAGCAACATCGTAAGTATGGCTTTTACCTTCTAGGCCCAGGTTACGCAGGCCAGGGTCCGATGTCTTTTTTAGATGTTTATATAATTTAGTTGTGTTTCTTTTGTTCCAGTGGATTCTCCATTCATTTTTTATAGTATTAGTAATTTGATTGTTAATTTCTCATATCCTTATATTGTTGTATATTTTATTTTTAAGCTTCTACTTTAATTTTTATTTCTTATAGATTTATGTATTATTTTGAAGATTATTACTGTTATCAAAATAATTTGATTGTTAATTTCTCATATCATTGTTTTTAAATATACTCTGAGTGGCAAAAAAATGACCAACCTCGGATTTTTTAATTAAATACTTGCAATCGTTATAATTTTTAATTTTTGTTGTTTATTGGATATTTAAAAAAAATAAAAAATAAATAAATAAAAAATAAAAAAATAAAANTATTAATAGGATTACTACCAGGTACGAGAATAGGGTAACCCTCATATGGATGCCTGCTCATAAGGGGCACTATGGCAATGAAGAGGCGGACAGCCTGGCCAAAGAAGGATCAAATACTGCGTTTGTCGGGCCACAACTGGTATTACCCCACTCTATAAGCACAGCGAAAGAGAGTATTAGTTGCTGGGGCATGAAACAATTCCTTAAAGAATGGAATATGTCCCCCGAACACAGGCAATCGAAGGCGTGTCTGAAGGAAATCAAACCAAAAGAAACGAAATGGTTATTCTCTAACTCTAGGAGGGGAATTAGGAGGCTGATAGGTATCCTAACGGGCCATTGCACCTTGAGAAGACACCTCTTCATAATAGGTATTCTACCAGACCCCTTTTGCCGCTTCTGTGAAACAAAGGAAGAAACGGCTCGACACAACCTTGCAGAATGTGATAGGTATGCTAGGGAAAGATTTGATACTTTCGAAGGAGTGGACATAACCAAAACACTCCCCAAGATAAAATGGTCCATCTTGGGGTTTGTGAATAGGTCCAAAAGGTTTATGCAGGACTCGTGAGCCGACCAGGTCCCGGACCTTTTAGGGATGGGGTACGGGCCTACCTAGGCTTTTAACCCCTCGGGTCCTGGTCACCCGCCCTGCGTAATATATATTTACCCTCTTTGACAACTTGCTCCAAAGGTGTTCGATAGGTTTAAGTCAGGATTACAAGCTAGCTCCTCATTGAATTGAAGCCTGTTCCAAGTAATCACCAACGATCCTAGCTGTGGGGTACTATCGTCATGCATAAAAATAAAACTGTCACCAATTAGTGGCATATAAGAAACAACTTGGTCTGATAACACACCTTCAATGTATTACACAGATCCTTGATGAAGATCAAGTTTGTGTGACCTTCCATAGAAATGCCTGCCCAAACCATAACACCACAGCTTCTCTTGAGTGAAAATGTTGTGGTAATATAGCGCCCTTCTGTTCTTCTCCAAACCATCTCTTGGCTATCAAAAAATCTCAAACAAAACCTTGTCTCAAACACTCTCCAAAAACCAAATTTTAGTCCAATCTTGCTCAGACCTATTGATTTCTTGTGAAAAGTAACCGAGCTGTTCTGGACCAGTGGCAAGCCTTCTCACATGTAATCCAGCTTCAGAAAGTCTTCGTATTACAGTGCATACACTGGCAATAACATTTCTAACTTGTTGAAGCCGTCATTTGATCTCAGCAGTGGTAGAATCTCGATTATGGAGTACATTCTAAACCAAAAAACAATCTTCTATGAAATGTGATATGACGGCGGCCTGATCCACGCCTTATTGACTAATGTTCAGTACCTTGGTAGCAATTGAAGACTCTTTGGACATTTGTTCTTGTAATAGAATATTGTAAGAACCCTGACCACATACCCTTGACTTCTTCCATCTTCCAACAGTGCTATGATTCTAGCCGAATCTGTATCACTTACAACCATCACTCAAACATATGTGAACTTAAAAATGGTACAACTTAAAAAAAAAATCAAATCACCAGAGCATTAGAAATAAGCTTTACAGAAAAACCTACAAAGAAGAGATTGGCTATTTAAAGATTTATTTACAAAATCCAATTATAAACTGAACTGGGAAATCTGTGTTTTATATCTAATCCTTAAAAACGGACAAAATATACCAAATAAGATAATCAATGGAGGATTGTCTAAGAGATAATTAAAAATATTAAGGGTGGCCACTTTTTTTGCCTCTCAGAGTAGAATATTTTATTTTTATTTACTTTAATTTTTATTTGTTCTAGATTTTATAAACCTACTTTTCTATCTATTGTATATTTTCTATTCTATTTTTTTTATTGCAAATATTAGTGTATAATTTCACTTTTTACATTTTATTTGTTAAAAAAAGGCTGTGACTCCCCATTAAAAAATAAAAATGCACTTTATAAAGAGTTTATTGTCTCAGAAGGACATGGAGGCTGTGAGTATGTATAAAAAGTTTCTGTTTGCTTGCTTTATTGTTTGTATCCAAGTTTCAATAAAGACTTATTATTACTGCTATTATAAATTATTGATTATTCTTATTTACTATTTATTTTTAAGTTTAGAAGTTATATACAACCCTCTCACCACTTATTGTTAATGAAACTGCTTAGTTGTGTGTTGTAAATAACTTGTAAACAAGCAAAAAATATAAGTTTAATAAAACTGTGTTATATATAAAAACCAAGCAGAAAAAAAATTATTTAGGAGTTTATTATTTTAATTATTAATTTAAGAGGGGCCTAGGATCTATTTAAAATTCACTGCATGTAAGGAAAAATGTCAAATTCAGGTTATTAATTTATACGTAAATGTAATAATTAAATATTTTGGGCTAATCTCGGATTAAACTACAGTTCATAAAGTTCTCATAATTAACATTTACTATTAACATTAACATTTATTTTTGACCCTAAACATCAATACAAGGAACAACATTCGCTTCCAACTTCAATGTCTGTTTATACAGCAGAACTAATTGCGATAGATAGCGCTCTTGATTACATACGAAAATTGGGTGATTCTAAATTTTGTATCCTCACAGACTGTCGAAGCATTGTAGAAAGGATAAATAACATTACCCCAGAATATAAATGCAGAAACTATATTTTTGCCCAAATCTGTAGGAAAATGCTTGAGACAAAAATCATGGGAAAAAGGGTGGCATTGTGTTGGGTGAAAGGGCATGCAGGTTTATGGCAAAATGAAACGGTGGACGCACTTGCAAAGGAGGCTGCAACATCAGGTCCAACCCTTGACATTAAAATTCCTAAAGATGACGGGAAAAACATTTTGGAAAAGTTTTGTAGAAATCTGTGGCAAGAAAAATACAACGCATCAAAGGTTGGCAATTATTACAGGTCACTGTTTCCTGAGCTCAAGAAAAAAACATGGTTTTTGGAAGGCGATAGCCCAGGATTTCTATTCTACTATTTTTAGACTGAAGACAAATCATGGCCTATGGGGTAGCTACAAGAAGGGAATCGGTTTGGCATCGTCTCCGAACTGTCCCACTTGCGATTGCCCTTCAAATCCTTCCCACATAATTTTTGAATGTCCAGAATATGAAAATGAAAGAGACAAACTGCTAAAAAATCTGAGCAAAGTCCCAAATATTTCAAAACCAATAAACTTAGAATCTGTCCTAATAACCAACAACCCATCAGCTTTCAACACAATCTATGGATTTCTAAAGTCCATAAACGTTTCTTTTTGATTATCTTCAAGCATGGAAATTTAGAAGATGAGATGACGGAGCTGAATGAGTGGTGCGGGCGCGCGGCGGGGACCTGGCCCTGGTCGGCCGATCACGCTCGACAGTAAAATGAAAATAGTAGAAAACTTCATGGGTAATATGCCAGCGTAAATAAATACTGTGCTTATGACATAACAGAACAAAAAAAGGACACTGATTAAGTTCGGAGTTAAAGCTAAGAGAGACACAGAGTCATGCATGATTTTTTGACCGTTGCATATTTACGAAGCGCATCGAACTTTCGCCTAACATTTTACTCTTGCTTTAACTTTTGATTGTTCACATTGGGAGTATAAGATATCTATTCCTTTTTTTTATCCACTTTTGCTTTATAAAATAAATTATGCAAATATATAATTTATTTTATAAACTACAAATGAATTTAGAAAAATGGAGGTGTTATACTTCCAATGTTAACACAAGGCAAAACTTAAAACAAGAGTAATGTAAGGTGATGGTTTGACACACTTTAGGATACAATGGTAAAATTCACTGCCAAGTGCATCTCTGTCAAGGCTGAGTCAACGTCAACAAGAAGACTTCTTCATAAGTGGACTGTACCCCCTGAGTCTTCAACTGGTATCAGATGACCTATTTGCTGTACTACATAATAGTCTTAATTTTACTTTTTCGGTCGAAGTTAAAAAAAAAAGGGTCTTCCTTTCGTGCATTCCATTTGGGAATAGATCTATTGTACTCCCTGGACTGTTTCTAACGGGGCTGATCAGTGACAGGTTTTCTCAAAGTTCACGGTTCCAGGGAAATTGGGGTCAGAGTTCAAACCTAAAATAATTTCGTTGGATAATTGTGTAGAATCGAAACCGCAGCCCTCTTTAAATGCTTTGCCAATTTGAAACGTATATCGCACAAACGACGAATATTCCAATTTGTTGTCCATTTCCATTGTTTGTCAATAAATTCGTCTAGATGAGGTTCGCCATGAATGTTCCTTCTTGAAGATAGATCTAGCAGCAGTAAACTTGTCCGAAGTTTTTCCTTTAATATGAAGCATCCGTACTACCCCGAACAATTAAATTTCGCACTTTAATTAAACTTTGAATTTGTATTGCGTGTTTGGGAAATTCCAGAATGCAAAATGTTGAACGGGATTGGGTTCTAATGAAGAAGGAAACTAGGAAAATGAAAGAACTTGAAACGGCACTTCCTTATTTCATTAAAGTTAGAAGGAGACTTTTGTATCATGAAATACATATATCCCTTCTTTTGTATTTTTAATGGTAAAATTTATTAATAATTTTACCATCCAATTTTTATTATCAACGGCTCGATGAAGTGACTTCGAACTGTTCACTGATTCGCTTAAAAATCCCAGATGTGATTCTTAAAATTAAAACAAAAACAACTAATTTCTCACATGGGAAAAATCCAATAAATTGAATGGGTTGAGTTTGACGTTTTCCCGAAAACGATATCCCTGACCTTGGATATGCCGAATTAAGGAGTAAGGAACTATTCGGAAAAACCACCGACTGGGTATGTTTCTGAAAATTGTTGATAGATCGATATAGCCTGTTGTTTTGACAAGAAACCAATTGGAGTAGACTTAGGGTACAAAAATAACCGTACATTACTACGTACGACCCGCGAATTCTTTTTCCACTGTGCTTTTAATAACTATTAACAGATACTTTAAAAGGGATTTTTTCTACTTGTTAAAAAAGCCTTTTGGGTTCCTGATAACACTGTAGAAATTCCGTGTTAAAGGCAAACAGTTATACGTTCAGTTTTTGTAATTAAACAATTATTTTAATTAATTAGTTATCACTTAGTTCTTAACAGTTAAAAATGAACCTTCCTATCGTGTATGTCGCGAAATTACATAGGGAATGGACAGAGCACATAGTAAAAATGAATTTGTTGAGTACCTAAAGTAGATAAAATACTAAACGTAAAAACTTAGAGACTTATTTGGTCATAAATTTAAGGTCAAGCATTCCTCCCTGATTTTTAACAAAATATAACCCTGGGGAAAAAAAGTTTGGCAGGTTTTAATGAAACTATGAAATAAAACCAAGTAGGTATTTCAATTTTGCTCAGTATTCGCATTATGGATATGCAACACATAAATAATTAAAAACACCGAGGATTTTTTGGTACTGTAAAACATTTCTTCAGTTTTTGTGCAAATAAAAAGTATCGTTTTCTTATAAAGGTATCTACCCTCGCGAAAGTTTCGAGTTAAATCAAGCGCAATTCGAAATTGTTAGTTTTAATTAAGAAGATACCTCATTTGAAAGAAAGGTTTCAACAACTATTTTGTCCGAAGAAAAGAGATTTGAGTAAATGGAGGAAACCATCCGTCCTCTTCTATCGTGTTCCTGTCTACTCCAGGAAAAAAAGATTCCAGTATTGGGACAAAACAGAAACGGAAGGGAAAACGTTTTGCACCTTTTAATAAGAGGTACGACCTCTTAAATCCAAAGATTTTTACATTTCGCGAATTTCGTTCTAAATATATCTCAATAAATTCTAGTATCAGTACATAGTATCAGAAGCTTAAAACATAAATGAAAACTAGAGTACTTCATGTCGAGGAGTAGTAGGGCTTTTAAATGCAAACAAAAGCCTAAAAGTTTATTTTTTAATTATTCTACCTTTAATTCTAGAAATAATTTAGAATATATTTTAATTTTATATATTTAAATATTATCTTTCAATATCCAAATCTTCAAATTAGTTTATTCAGTGGATCAACGCAAATCACTTCAAAATACATTGTTTGGTTTTTTAAAATTCGTTTTACATGTAAAAGTATCAAAGGAAATGTCTATAAAATTTTATGGCTTTAAAGATGTTCTTATTCAATCGTAATTAATTCAGTGAATTCATTTTACCATTCTTAAGGGTGGTCAAAGATTTAGAAATATTTTGAAACGTTTTGACTCCGCATTTAATAACTGTTTAAACAATTATATTCACAATGTAAGGATCATATTTTTAAGAGCGTGTAATGTGAGAGGGTAGACGGCGAAATATTGATTACCCCATCGACCCTCAATTAGGTCTGTTATACAATATGTGTAGGTCATGGAGGAAAATCGGGACTCCGCCACCCTAATTGAGTGAATGGTAAATAGGAGAGAATGTATTTAAGAGTGAATGGGTTTGGATCTAGGATCTGCGTTGGGTGTTGTTGACCTAGCTGTTGACATCACCCGGAGCCCGACCCCGGTGGCCGGACCGAAACGGTCTGGGTGATTCTCGAGGCCTGCCGGTAATTTATTCCAAATTTCAGAAGCCGGTATGAGAAGTGATAGGCTCATCTCTGTATATGTGTGTATGTGTACATGTGCATAGTTGATCATATATCCAAAATCCAAATCTAAAATAGTTTAAGAAGGGTTATCTCTTAAAATGAAATACGTATAAAAGTCTTAAAGTGTCCGCATTTTTGCTGACTTGAAGGTTTTTTTAAACTTAAGTGATCATTTTGAAGAAATTTCAGTCATTGGTAAATCGAAGTATATGAAGCATATTTGAAGCATATCGGTGATTTATTCTAAGTGTACCATAGCTTAACATGTTATGAAAGCAGATCTCTTTCTTAAATATTTCACATAAATCACTGTTTTGAACACCAATATGTACCACATAGTAGATTGATTTACAGTTCATTCTCCCTGCCTGATTAAATTACGAAATTATTTAGCGATAAATAAACGTTGTGTACTGCGGAGTGCGGGATAAAGGGGTGGAATGCGTCAAAATGACAATCAAATTTTTTTAAGACTGATTAGGATACATAGACCTAAATTATTATGACTATGGAATTAGATATTAACAATAACAGACGCCAAATTTTTCATTTTTTGGTATGATTAACCAAAATAATTTCCTTATTAAATTTTGTAAGTTATAGTCTTGGTCCACAGCAATGAGTGATTAAATTAGGCTACAAACTCTTTTTAAACATTAGCACTGTGTTTAACTCCATTTAAATGTGGAGATGGTTAGGGACATCTAAACCTATGCGGACGACTACTCAATCTTATATAGCAAGGTAGTATCCTTGGTCCTGTCCTATATGTCATTTATACTGCTGACCTACCAACACATCCTGACACTATTATCACCACCTACGCGGACGACACCGCAATCCTATCCTGCAACTCGAATTCTGTCCAAGCTACCTCCAACATCCAGGAACACCTTGAGCTTATCGAAGACTGGTGTAAAAAATGGAGGACAAGACTGAACGAAGAAAAATGCACTCAGTGTACTTTTACGCTGAAAAAGCAGTCTTGCCCTCCATTGTACATCAACAACAAAGAGATACCAGTTTCCACTCAAGTCAAATACCTGGGACTATATCTCGACAGCAGACTGACGTGGAATCCCCACACAAGACTTAAAAAACAGCAACTTAATACAAGACTTGGACTACTACGAAGACTTTTAAGACCGAAATCGACTTTGACAATTAAGACAAAACTAACACTATACAAGACTTTACTAAGACCAATATGGACATATGGAGTAGAATTGTGGGGCACTGCCAAGCCTTCCAATATCCAGCGCATCCAGTCCTTCCAATCGAAAGTCCTTAGACAAATTGTTAAAGCACCCTATTATGTCACTAACCTCACTATCCACAAAGACCTCAACATTCCTTTTGCCAACGAACTAATCCAGTCCAGATTCCAAACCTTCCATACCAACCTTTCAAACCATCCTAACCATACGGCTCGAGCCCTATCCACTCATTCCCATCCTGACAACCCACCACGACGCCTCAACCGACGATGGCCTCGGGACCTCCTTGATCCCTAATCATATAAACTGAGTGCCAGCAATGGCTGGCTCCTCAAAGCATGTGTCCTACCGGTGCAGTGCTGGCATTAGTGCTAGTGTTGTGCTGTGTGATATTTCATGCATGTGTACATATTTGTATAGTATACAATTCTGTATAGGTAACAAATAAATAAATTAAATTAAAAAAAAAAAATCTACACACTCCTATCCTCTGAACCTCATTACCGACTGGTGCATTCGGTGGCGGATCAGTTTGAACGAGCAAAATGCCAACAAGTAAAGTTTACGCTTAACGTGAGACCTGCCCATCATTGCACTTAAACAACAGCACCTCATCCAACCAAGACCGCTACCTTGGATTTTACTTAGCAGTTACATAGAACTCATAAGAACTTAAAAAAGATATGGACTACTCAGACTAGGACTAACATTAACACTAAGCATAACAAACTAACCGCTTATAAAAACCTCATCAGTCCTATTTGGACTTACGCAGACGACCTCTGGGGCTTGGCCAATTCCTACAAAATCCTACGAGTTCAATCCGTTAGGTCTAAAGTACCTTGCCGTACCCTTCTACGTCACCAATCAAATGATATGTAAAGACCTTAAAATCCCATACGTGATGGATCTGATTCGATCAGGCTTTCTCAATTCTAAATTATCCCTCCACCCTCATCCACTAGCGCAAACTCTTTTCTCAACGTCCCACACTTATGGTCTACCCGTCTAAAACGAAGATGGCCTCGTGAACTATCTTAAAGCCGGCAGCTAAAGAGAGCACTGGCTGGTTTCTCTTCACTGTCTTCTGGCCTGACGGATCAGATCTGTACACAATTATCTATACTATTTGCTCAATGTATATTTATTTTGAACAGACAGCAATAAATAAAAAAAATTAAAAAATGTAGACAATTTAATTTTTTAAAATGAAATTTTGTCATTGAAATACCCTATTTAGCGATTGAACAGGAAAAAATATGCATTGTTTGAATTATGGATTACGTTTACTTGCGTAACAAAAATATGGTCTTATGCACTTTGCACATTATTCAAGGAACGTTATTTGATCATATGTGATGCGTGTTCTTTTTGTAGGAAATGGTTGTGTGAATAAAAAGGGCCAGGGGAGACGATGGGAATCGAACCCACGACCGCGGGTCTACCAGCTGAGAATCGATCACGCTGGCCACTCGGCTACCGCGGCCTCTACTAAGATTAATTTAGTAATCTCAGTTTTTTCATTGATCGTAGAACATTCTGTATGGATTCGTGGATGGTATCACAGTATCCCCGACTAATCTGTCGGATAGTTACGCCGAACGAATACCCAGAGAACGGTTAGAAATTGGCCATCCCTCTTCTTATAGATGATTTCCGGTTAAATTGAACGGATGAAATAATAGGAGAGGGGTCGCAAGACGAGAAGGGGTTGAGACGCCTCGGGTAGACGCCGTATTTCACTTAGGGCATATCTTCTTGTGAGAAAACCCTCTCTCGGCCGGGTCTACACGCCTGAGTCCCAGCTGATAACAGCTCCCTTCTCTCACCCATTCGCTTTCTCAGAGCAGACTATTAATTTGAGAATTAACCGACTCCACTCCTCGGGCAACCATCCTATTGTCCATCCGTCCGAGAACCCGAGAATTCGTCGAGTACCTGCACCGCTTCCTCAAAAAAATTGAGAATAATAAGAAAAAACACTTGAACGTAAAATTTTGATGATTTATGTTAAATAATATTACACATTTATTACTTTATTATTAAACAGAATAGTAGCAGTAATTTCTTATCTTTACCTATCTAATTCTTTCTTTCGTTCGTTTTAAATCTCAAAAATGGCACCAGTATAATTACATATGTATATATTTGCTATTCTTTTAGAATTTATCTTTTTTTTTCATCATTAGTTTTTAAAATTGAAGGAGTACTGTACAAAACGAACCCGGGGCCCTCTTTAACGATAATTTTCTGTAAGACTTATTAAAATCGGATTAGTAGGATAACTAAACAGATAAAGGGAGGGATGGCCATCAGAGCCTATTTGCCATGGAGTGAGGTGTGGTCGACGATGCTGTGATGGACTCAACTCGGCTTCCGGGGACGGTTAGACAAACACAACGAGGGACAAGTGGTGGTGACTCGGTTATGGAGGGTGTGACATTATGTACACAACGGTCCATCTGACAAGAACTACATCATCCTCTTGTTTACGGCCCATTAAGAGGAAAGTTTAATCCCATTTACGATGATCACCCATTTAAATTCATTGTCTCCATTCGTACGTTACATTGAAACAGTTTGTTTAACATTTTCTTTCGATGACATGCAATATTAAAAATAAAATCTAACAAATTGGATATGAACGAAAAATCTTATTGATTTTTTTTGCATGTCTATCTGACAAGAACTACATTATCCTCTCGTTTACAATCAATTAATAGGAAAGTTTTAATCCCTTTTACGATGATTATTAAATTCATTGTCCCAGTTAATGCGATACATTGAAAAAAGTCTGTTTAACCTTTTCTTTCGATGACATGCAATATTACAAAAATGAAATCTAACAAATTGGATGAGAATAAAAAAATCTTATTGATTTTTTTTTGCAAGTCCATCTGACAAGAACTACATTATCCTCTCGTTTACGATCAATTAATAGGAAAGTTTTAATCCCTTTTACGATGATTATTAAATTCATTGTCCCAGATCATGCGATACATTGAAAAAAGTCTGTTTAACCTTTTCTTTCGATGACACGCAATATTAAAATATGAAATCTAACAAATTTTATGTGAACGAAAAATCTTATTAATTTTTTTTGCATGTCCATCTGACAAGAACTACATTATCCTCTCCTTTACAATCAATTAATGGGAAAGTTTTAATCCCTTTTACGATGATTATTAAATTCATTGTCCCAGTTCTTGCGATACATTGAAAAAAGTTTGTTTAACCTTTTCTTTCCATGACATGCAATGTTAAAAATGAAATCTAACAAACTAGATGAGAACAAAAAATCTTATTGCTTTTTTTTCAAATCTCTCTGTTCACCGATGTTCTCGTAATAGTGTAGATTTTAATTGTCGTTACGTATCATATCAATCATAAATCCAAATTCTAAATGGTGTAATAAACTAGTGTTGAAAATTTTAAAATTTAGCAATAAACACGATAAACAACCAACGTTCAATTTTATCTAAATATGGACACATTCTAAAACACGTGGATTTTCTTGCCTGCTACTTGTGACAATTTCAAACTTAATATGTAAAAATAATCGAAAATACATGTATTGAAATATAAAGCATTATTAGAAGGTAGAATTAAACTCTACTCAGTACTGTGCTCGTAAATTTAATTGAGATTTGTCTAGGGATGGTTCAAATTAATGAGGCGTTTCAAATGATAAACGTGTTTCAGAAAAGCAAGAAATCATTATGGCTCCTCCCGAAAAGCCGTCTCTTCACAAGCTACACGAAGGAGAAGAAACCTCTAAAAAGAAGAGAGTGCGCCGAAGGAGAAGAAAACACGTCATCACCGACTCGTCCACCAGCCAAGAAGAGGGTGATAGGTACAGAGTAATTAAGTCGGTGAGCGATTTTTCCCTCCCAAAGGTCAGGGAATATGCATATGGGGGCGAGGAGCCGATGGGTTCCGAATTATATGTCACCATAGCTGAAAAAGAAAAGCGCAGAGCTATCGCCGAAAAAGAGAAATTCCGAAAAAGGTTAACTTTAGAAGCTCTCGGCGAAGAACGCCGCCTCAGAAATAAAGCCAGGAAAGATAGGATGATAGCGAAAAAGTTGATAAATATGCAGAAAGAGGTGTCAGCCGAACAAAAGAAAATAGAAGAGAAAAAAGAATCGTTAAAAAAGGAAAACGTAGAATTGATAAGAAACTGGAAAACCAAACAGGAAAATTCTTCTTCCGAGTACACAGAGGACAGCAACGAAAACAACGATAATAAAGATGGAATCAAAGTAACTACTGTTGATGTGAAATTAGCTCCTAAAAATAAGGAAGAAGAGAAACGGCGAAGGAACGCAGAAAGGCGTAGACGACGACGGCTTCGCAAAACCGAGATTAAAAAGGCAGCATTGCAGACCGATCAGAAGCCTAACGCTTTTATTAAAAGGCCTGAATTCGACAAAACGGAAGACCATATTTTTCTTGAAGAAGGATCGAAAAAATATCAGCCTTTATCCTTGGGCATCCGAGCCAAGATGTACAAAGAATATGAACAGAAAAAGGAAAAAATGAACATGGCCATCGATCGGTTTTGTGAAAAACTGAAAACGCAAGATGGCAGGCCTATACGGATGATACTGATTGACGACTCGAAATGCTTAAAATCTAATAGCAATGTAAATTGTACAGCGCCCAAAGAAAAAGAAAAGGAATCGAAATACCAAAAAAAACCCGCCTCGAAGAGCATAAATATTCCATTCCAAAACGAAGGAGAAAACTGGGAAGACAGATTAAAAAGGAGGATAAGAGAAGACAGAGTAGAGCTCGATAAAGTTCTCATCGAACTCAAGCAAAAAGTCGAAGAAAAAAATTATCAAAAAAAACTTATCAAAGAGGAGAAAAAAGTGAGAAAAGAAAAATTGAAAGATAGAAAACTTATGATAAAATTACTTAAAGAACGCATAAAAGAGGAAAGTCGGTCGACAGATTTTTATGGGAGAAGGAATTTGCTGTTGACGATGAAAGAACAACAAGTTGTCGATAAGCCCATTGAAACGAAGTTACTTCTATCAGGATCGAAATATATTTTGAACAATAACCCGGTAAAGGACATGCTGGTTAGATTAATATCAAGAAGCAACAGACAGGAAAAAGAGGATATGGTTATACCCAGCAAAGAAGACCAAGATAGGGAAGATATCGTACAGGATAAAGAACTCGAAGAATTAGGCGACCAATTAGAAGAAAAATGTTTCAGAAAGATTTCCAAAGAGAAAAAAAGAAAAGAAGGTAAAATTAATAAGAAGAAGTTGAAATGTTCCTCTGCCAGTGGGCAAGAGTCGAATCCGACAAAGGCAGAGTTGGCATTGATGAACGGATCTCCTACCGAGAGGGCCAAGTCCGATTCAAAAACATTATGGCTAAATACTAAACTCTTAAGGAAAAAGGAACGACGAGGGGAGACGGAGGAGGCCAACAGCGAAAAACGGAAACACATCAACGACAAGATTGTCGATTTGTGGAAAGATATGATAAAAAGACACTCAAATAAGAATTCGGACAATCACTCGATCAATTCGAAATTGCCGGATTATGAAGCCGAAGGTGACAGGAATTCATCGGACGGCATGGAAGAGATTAATTTAACCAATAGTTTGGATACGATTGAAAACGAAGTCTATAACAGTACCAAACCTTTAAAGGAAATCAAAGAAAATAAATTCAAGAGAAAGTTGAAACTCCCCCCTTTGAAATTACGTAGAGATTTGAAATTTTTAAGGCATACGTCACTCAACCCACTTTCAATATAACAGTAAATAAATGAATTTCATGTGTTTCTTCTTTTATAACTTCTATGATGAAGTTGATTAAAAATAAGATAATAAATTATAAAAGCAAAAGGATTAAACCGTTTAAAGTTAGACATTTTCGTTATGTTTACTTCGTCTTTTTTAAGAAATTTAAGACATTTACCTTATGTTTCATAGCATATATTTACTGTGTCTGGCGTCTCTAGAATTTAACCTCATCTTCTTTTGCCTTTTCTGTATCCACTCTGTGATGGAGGATTCTGTGTTTGTTTTTGTTATCCCAAGGATTGGTTCAGGGCCTATGATTCTCCTCTGGCCTAGTGGGTGTGCTTTTTCGTTACCCAAAATTCCCTTGTATTCTGGAACCAAAGATATCGGGTTGTTATTTCCCCAGGTTTTGAAAATTTTGGATGCAATCACTGACTAGTTTTGATGTGATTTTTTTTTACAAGGTAAAGCTTAAATAGTTGCTTGGCTATCCGACCTTAGGAGTATTTTTAGCCAGTGTAACGTCTTTTAGGGTCTCTTCAGGGCACATGGCATGCATTTCCGATTTAAAAACCCAAGTGAACTTCACTAATGATTATAATTAATTAAGGTTTTTAGTTGAGATGAAAAAAAGTTAATGGCACGAGAGGGATTCGAACCCACGACCTTCGGCTAGATACGCCGCTGCTCTACCACCTGAGCTATCGTGACCTCGATCCACTCGGACATCAACTCCCCATCTCAACCCCACCTTATGAGTTTTCCCTCCTTTAAGGTTTTTACTTGAGATGAATCGAGGTCACGATAGCTCAGGTGATAGAGCAGCGGCGTATCTAGCCGAAGGTCGTGGGTTTGAATCCCTCTCGTGCCATTAACTTTTTTTCATCTCAACTAAAAACCTTAATTAATTGTAATGTTTAATTGGTCAAGCGGACCACGACAATAGTGAATTCACTAATGATTTTGATTGCTCATCTTTTGGACTTGTATGAAAAACGCCTGATCCGGTCCCTTTGTTTATTTGGGAGCCATCTGTATCCCGTATCATTGTATCTGATGCTCTCCTGAGTTTTTCTTCTCCTTTATAGTCCGTTGAGATTTTAAAAGATCTGGTTAATGAAAATGCTGGAAAATCGTGTTACTTTACCGCCACATCTAGCCCAATATAATGGCCATTCCATTAATTAACAAAACGCGTTACAAAACTCAACTATCAACTAAGCAGCGTTGAAAGGATGGCTGATACGGAGAACTTAAATTTAAAAAAAATGTGTGGTGGTTAGTGACCGTTTATCGATAATTATTCAGAAATCGTGAGATGCGGTCTGGTGTAATGTAGGTTTCAGAAAAACATTTTCTTTATCGTGCCAACGTTTCGATCTTTATTGAGATCATCTTCAGGGCCTGGGATTTACAAACATTGTTTACATTTAACAAATACATGAAGGATGTGGAAAAAATGAATTTATACAATGCAACATATATGTTTGATATTCAATCAAAGTATTTCTACTCACTCAAAGTGTTTCTCTTCTGTGTAATTGTGCCATTCTTGCGTGTCGTGTTGAGAGCGTCCTTGAACATTTTCTTTATCGTGTCAACGTTTCGATCTTTATTGAGATCATCTTCAGGGCCTGGGATTTATAAACATTGTTTACATTTAACAAATACATGTATGATGAAGAAAATGTTCAAGGACGCTCTCAACACGACANCTAGATACGACGCTGCTCTACCACTTGAGCTATCGTGATCCACTCGGACACTAACTTCCCATCTCAACCCGACCTTTTTGAATTTTCCCTCCTTTTAATTAATTGTAATGTATTAATTGGTCAAGCGGACCACGAAATTAGTGAATTTAATGATGTAAAATGAAGTATACTTCACTAAAGCTCTCCGTGGCCATTTCATTTGTCGTCGAGAATCCAATCCGATTATACGACATTTGAAAAATGACAAAAAGGAGAGAAAATTAAAAAGGTGTGGTTGAGATGGGAGGTTGGTGTTCGAGTGGATCGAGGTCACGAGAGCTCAAGTGGTAAAGCAGCGGCGTATCTAGCCGAAGATCGTGGGTTCGAATCCCCCTCGTGCCATTGACTTTTTTATCTCAACTAAAAACCTTAATTAATTGTAATATATTAATTGGTCAAGCGGACTACGAAATTAGTGAATTTATGTGAAAAGTTTGAGGAAAATCGTGGCCATGATTTTTATATCCCCTAATGCATTAGAAGATATTGACTGTCGCATCTTTAGCTAAGATGCTCGTGAACCATTTACACTCTTCCATGAAACGTCTTACATTTTCTAGATTACAATTAATTAAGGTTTTTAGTTGAGATGAAAAATAGTTAAGGCACGAGCGGGATTCGAACCCACGATCTTCGGCTAGATACGCCGCTGCTCTACCACTTGAGCTATCGTGACCTCTGAGGTGATCACGAGCTGAAGATGTTGGGTTCGAATCCCGCTCGTGCCATTAACTGTTTTTCATCTCAACTAAAAACCTTAATTAATTGTAATGTATTAATTGGTCAAGCGGACCTCGAAATTAGTGAATTTTCTAGATTGTTCAAAAATGCACAGGGATAGTGCCAATTTTGTAGTATTTACTTTCCAGAGCATTTTTATTTTATTTGTATTATAAATTGCTTTAAAATTAAAAACTCTGTGCATCTGTTAGGCTTACTGTTAATAAGTTTGTCACTAATTTTATAAGGAATTTCTCTCCATAGAAGTTGTAACGCCGAACTCAGTTGTTGCAGGTCAACTTGCTGCGAAGGGCGATCGAAAAGCCTTCTCTGCCACGCATCCCACATGTGCTAAATGGGATTGAGGTCTGGAGATAATGAGTGAAGGGGCAGATGAGAAATTCCCAGGTTTTGTGAACATTGATGAACAACTCCGGCTTGGTATTGTCATCCAGAAATCGAAAATCCCTGCCAATGAGATCCCTGATATGAGGGATGTATTCCTAGATAATTTTTAGGACATAACGGACTGTAGTGAGGTTGCCTTCAACAATACGGTGACCAGTTCGTCTTCCAGTGTAAATCCCAGCCCATACTATTACACCGCCTCCTCCACACTCCACTGAAGGGAGCATGAACTGGGGCATTGTACGCATCCCCTGTTCTCGCCTGATTTCACTCTCAGTAAACATAACCGCATTTCAATTGGTATTTTCTTCTAGGTGCTCGCTGCACCATATTCTCCTGAGTTGGTGGTGGCACATTTGAGGCCAACTAAAAAAAATTGATAAAGGCCTTGCAGGTCATCTTTACTTCATTTGGGATCTGGCGGGCACTATGGAAACGGTTCCATCTTGCAGCAGAATATTTCTGTCCTCCCTTAGTGTCGTAATGCGCCGAGATCCACAACCAGGTCTCCTATTGGCACTACCAATCTCTCGGAATCTCTCGGCTTTAGCTAGACCACGCACTGAGAAACGCCAACAGCTCTCTGCGATAACTCTTGCCGGTGACCTGGGTGACTCATTCTCACGTAATATTGCGAACTTCTGGTTCAAGATGATGTCTTTTCATGGTTAAAGAGAACATAATAATACAACTGGATTAAAATGGAGAAAAAACGAGAAAAGGTGTTTGTTTGCAAAATAAGTAATCTTCATGTTTACTATTCTTAAGTAAATCCGTTATTAAAAATGAGTATTAACATTTGTTTGTTTTTGGTTTGTGTTTTCTATTTTGTTTTACTCAGCTATCGGTTAATTTAATTAAAATCAATAGAATAAGAATAAATTACAAAAATCCCTATTCATTTTTGAGCAGCATTCGTTACTTTGAAGCATAAGCAATACCGAAAATCATACACTTTTTAAATAATTTGATTCTTGTAGCATAAGGTGTTAATTTTGTGCTTATATGTCCATTCATATAAAGTTCGGGTAAGTTCAACTTAACCATAACTATGTAAAACAAAGCGTCAGCGTTTTATACAATTTCCCCCGCTTTTTTAACTTGCAACCTGTAAAAATGTTGCTCCTGTAAGTTGTAACAATGTAAATAGATAGGTAAACTCTTAGATAGGTGTGTTAAATATTTTGTAAACGGAGAATCAGTAAGATTAAATATTACAATGATCAGTAAGAATAAATAACTCGCCAATGCTATGAGCTAAAAATGTTCAACATCTTGTAATGTATCTGGATACCACACTTAATTGTAGTTATAGTTAGTATAGTTACTTTATTTATATCGTATAAATACGTCCATTAAGGTGCTTTCATTTGGGGAAATATGTCTAAATCTAATTTTGCTAAGTTCCAGGTAGTCCAAAATGCTGCTCTAAGAATTATTGGACGGTTTCCACGTTGGGCTACGACAGACTACATGCATCTCTATACAAACCTAGCTTAATAACCTATATTTATAGAACGATTAATTTAAGATTTTAAAATTCTTGCATAAATAGCTCATTTGTACATATAAAGGAAATCTTTTTACTTATATCGGGGAAGACTTGAACTACGTCGATACAAGCATGAGAGTTAAGCACATATCTTTTGAAAAATAATGAAAGTGTTAAAAGGAACTGTGTATCTGACAATGTAATTAAGAAATTGCTGCGATAAATAATGTGAAAATAAGTGTAAGTCTTTGTCTGTTGGTTGATTTATTGGGTATAGCATGTACTTTAATATTCTTATTGTCTTACTTATTTATTGAAATCATGTACCTAGTGTTAACTTTGTTGTTTTATGTAAGGCCTGGGTTTTTTAAAATATATTTTTCCCCTGAAAGCATTATGTTTAATGTAACTTAAAGAAAAATTACAATTAATTAAGGTTTTTAGTTGAGATGAAAAAAAGTTAATGGCATGAGAGGGATTCGAACCCACGACCTTCGGCTTGATACGCCGCTGCTCAACCACCTGAGCTATCGTGACCTCGATCCACTCGGACATCAACTCCCCATCTCAACCCCACCTTATGAGTTTTCCCTCCTTTTGCCATTTTTCATCTCAACTAAAAACCTTAATTAATTGTAATGTATTAATTGGTCAAGCGGACC